CTGAGTCTGGAGGTACTAGGCCTGGGAGTCCTGCACCTGGAGGAGCCCTCTCCTTGGAGCAGCTGCGTGCGTGGTACTTAGAGTACTGCAGCCTCCGGAGAGGTACCGCTCGAGCCGGACGTACTACTGGGACTGGTGCTAGTGCTTCTTCTCCCGTTCGGGAGCTCCCCTCCCGCGAGCGGATCCGTGAGTGGTACGAGCGGCGCTGCACTCTTCGGAGTGGCGTGCCTCGTGTTACGGACCCCGCTGTTGTTGGAGCTACTGCTGGTGCTGAGGTCCCGGGCGTTGGAGCCGCTGCTGGTGCTGAGGACCCAGGCGTTGGAGCTGCTGCTGGTGCTGAGGACCCAGGCGTTGGAGCTGCCGCTGGTGCTGCGGACCCGGGCGCTGGAGCTACTACTGGTGCTGAGGACGCGGGCGTTGGAGCTGCCGCTGGTGCTGAGGACGTGGGCGCTGGAGCTGCTGCTGGTGCTGCGGACCCTGGTGCGGGTGTCCCTGCTGGCTCTAGTGTCGCTGCTCGGTCTCGGCCGTACTTTGTTCCGCTCCTTCAGCAGGTTCTTGGTCAGCTTCCTCCTCCTTTTCTCCCTCCCTCCTCAGCGTGTCCTCCGCCTGTCCAAGTGCAGTCGGCGTTACCGTCTGCCTCCTCTCTCCCTGGTCCTGCTCCTTACACTGGTCCGACTGGAGGTCTTACTAAGCGGCGTGAGCCTGCGTCTCGTCCTGCGTCGCCTGAGTCTCGTCCTGAGTCGCCTGTCCGCACTGCTCTCTCGAGTAGTCGAGTCCAGCGTCAGCGTCTTCCTGCTGTCCCAGGCACTCACCGGATGGCGCTTCGTCCGTCCACTGCTCCACAGCGTCTCCCACTGCCGTCTCCTCATGCTTCCTCTCTTCCTGCTCTTGCTGACCCTGGGTCAGACTCTCTTCGTGCTACCAGTCCTACTGTCATGCGTCTCCTGGCTACTGTTGTCACTGACCCTTCTTTTGAGTCTGCTGCTGCGTCTGCCTTAGTTGCTCAGCTTGTCGACTTTGCTGCTCGCTGTCGCCTAGACTACGCCGCCAGTCTTGTTGTTGAGTCTGAGTCTGTCTGTCCTCCGTCCGTCCGGGGTGAGTGTGCTCTTGGCACTGACGTCCTTGAGGACAGGCAGGAGGAGTTTGAGTGCTTTGCTACCGCTTTGCCCCATCTCGTGTCCATGCTTGTTGCCCCTGAGGGAGACCCGGATGCACCAGACATCCCGACCCCACGCTCTTACGCAGAGGCGATGGCCGGTCCCTACTCCTCTCAGTGGCAGTCAGCCATGGACGCAGAGATGGCTTCCTGGAAGTCCACAGGCACCTACGTCGACGAGGTTCCCCTGTCAGAGGTCCACTGGTGATCCCCGATTGATCCTAGGGAAGGGTTACAGGCACGTTGGCCTGGGGGGTTTTGGGCGCACTGACCCGCTACCTAAACAAGCCCTTTTATCCCAGTGGTCTAGTGGCTGGGATTCTGACATGGTATCAGAGCGAAGGTCTTGGGTTCGAATCCCGGTGTATGCACTTCGGGCATCCCAGTGCGGGGGGGTGTCAGAGGTCCACTGGTGATCCCCGATTGATCCTAGGGAAGGGTTACAGGCACGTTGGCCTGGGGGGTTATGGGCGCACTGACCCGCTACTTAAACAAGCCCTTTTATCCCAGTGGTCTAGTGGCTGGGATTCTGACATCCCCCACCTGGGGCGAACATTGTCAGTGGCATGTGGATTTTCATGGTGAAGCGGCCGCCGGGTTCTCCGCCTGTCTTCAAGGCGCGTTACAATGCACGAGGCTTCAGTCTGCGAGAGGGAGTTGACTTCTTCCATACCTTCTCCCCGACCCCAAAGATGACCACTCTTCGGGTTCTGCTGCACATCGCCGCTCAGCGTGACTACGAGCTCCACTCGCTTGACTTCAGCACTGCTTTCCTGCAGGGCAGCCTGCACGAGGAGATCTGGCTGCGCCGTCCACCTGGCTTCACTGGGTTGTTCCCTCCTGGTACCCAGTGGAGCCTCCGACGGCCAGTCTACGGTCTCCGCAAGGCGCCTCGTGAGTGGCACGACACACTGAGGACTACGCTTGCGGCTCTTGGGTTCGCGCCTTCTACTGCTGACCCGTCGCTGTTTCTACGCACCGACACCTCACTGCCGCCGTTCTACGTCCTTGTGTACGTCGACGACTTGGTCTTTGCTACTGCTGACACTGTGGCACTCGCCCACGTGAAGTCGGAGCTGCAGAAGAGACACACGTGCACAGACCTGTGTGAACTGACAAGCTATCTTGGCTTGCGGATCACTCGGGACAGAGCACGCCGCACCATCACCTTGACTCAGTCACACATGGTGCAGCAGGTCCTTCAGCGCTTCCGCTTCACGTACTCCTCGCCTCAGCCCACTCCTCTGCCTACCGGTCACTCGCTCTCAGCTCTGCCTTCGGATGAGTCCGTAGAGCAGAGTGGCCCGTATCCAGAGCTTGTGGGTTGCCTCATGTACCTGATGACCTGCACTCGACCAGACCTTGCATACCCTCTCAGCATTCTTGCACGCTATGTCGCTCCCGGCCGTCACCGGAAGGAGCACATCGATGCAGCTAAGAGGGTGTTGCGCTACTTGTGCAGTACGTCGGGCATGGGGCTAGTGCTTGGAGAGCGAGTCCCAGTTGTTCTCACTGGGCACTCATACGCTTCTTGGGCAGACGACCAGGCTACTCAGCGGTCGTCTCAGGGTTACTCCTTCAGTCTTGGCTCTGGTTCTGTTTCTTGGCGTTCTTATCGCTCTTCTTCTGTTCTCAGCTCCAGTTGTGAGGCTGAGATCTACGCCACAGCCATGGCGGCCCAGGAGCTACGCTGGCTCACCTACTTGCTGACCGACCTTGGAGAGCAGCCTCGTTCTCCTCCTGTCCTGTACATCGATAACAAGGCAACCATTGCCTTGTGTGAGGAGCACACACTGGAGCACAGAACGAAGCACATTGCTCTGCGTTACTTCCTTGCTCGAGAGCTGCAGCAGCGTGGTCAGCTTCGCCTGCGTTACGTGGCCTCTGAGGCCAACACTGCTGATGTGTTCACCAAGGCGCTTCAGCCTTGTGACCATCAGCGCTTTTGCACTCTTCTAGGCCTTGTGCCTACTGGACCTCACTTGCTTACTTCTTGAGTCTGTTTGTACTGTGATCTCTATATATATACCAGCATGTTTACTCTTGTTAGGTTGTGATCATTGTACCTTTTGCTCTATTATAAACCTGCATGTGAACTGGTCTTGTGACCACTTGCTTGTGCTCGGAATTTGTGTGGTATCATTGAGATCCACCCTGAACTTGTTTTGCCTTGCTTTGCCTTGACTGGTCTTGTGACCCCTAGTTCTCCCCCACTTTGCCTATGGGGGTGTGTCAAACATTATATATGTTGTGTTAGTTTAGGCTACAGTGGGTTAGCCTATAGGGGGTACACAATTCTAGGGTTAGGTACTTGTACTCATTTCACTACTAGTTCTTTCATTCCTGTTCAGTGATTCCAACAGTTACTGCTTCAACGAATTTCGCAGACGCTCGTATTTGACTTCACGACGAATCGCCTTCACCGACGACATTTTCGTACCAACCCCGACTTCACGGCCAGAGGATTTCGGGATACAGCCGCTCCAATTGTACTAGCGACAAATCCATCCACTCGACCCGCCCACGACAACTGCATTGATTTCAAACACGTCAGGTGCTGCCAGCTGCATCTGCTGAAGATACTGCATGATTCTGGCGTGTGAAGACAAAAACAGGTTCAGTTCGAGCAACGCATAATTTCTGCCGCGGTTTCTGGTCTACTTACGCGGGTTCGCCCTTGAAGACTTTTTGGGGCACGTAAACCTGGGTTCGCCATCGACATTTCCACAACGACGACATTTCGCCTGGACTTTTACATTCGACGCTCTTAATCGTGGGACTTAACGCCTGGCTTTTTGTTGGTTTTCATCTCGGCGCAGCTGTGAAACATTTTCTGGTGTGCTTTCTTGGAGGGGGGGAGAAAGTGTTTTGCACTATTTCTTTCCTCGGCGTTTTCTCGGCTCAATTTCAGACTTGGTCAAAATGCAGCAGCACGACGGACGACTGCGATCGCTGCTTCACGATCAACGGTTTCTGCAACATCGCGATTGAATTTCGCGTCAGCAGTTTCCCTCCACATCCGCGACATCGTTGACCGTCAGATCTGCAGTCATCGCATCTACGGCCCACATTCCAAATTTCAATCCACTTTGGGCCAGTTCATCATGGACCTTCAGATCGAAATCGAATTTCATCGACGGCCTACATTCCAACCTTTTCAAAAATATTTGTCCAAGGCATTTCGGCCGTCGGATTCAGCTGAAGAGAAGATCTACGGAATCCTCGCTAGTGTGGGGCCTTTTTTCAGTACAGTACAGGGCTGCCTTATTTAGAAGGTGGGAGAGTGTAAGGATTAACAAATCCTTACTGAGGCACTCGTTAGCGAGGTCATCCCGAGGGTCACGCGACGAACCTGTCCTTCCTATTTTGTCGCACCGAACCACTCCCGAGTCGGCCTCCGCTCCAATCGCAACCATCACCGAGCCATCCTCGCCCAACCTCTCCGCCTAGCTAGGACTTCCCCTATTTAGTCGTACCTTTCTCATTGTATCGTCATTCAGTCATTCAGTAATTCAGTACTCAATCATTCTCGATATTCGTTTTACTGCGCACTCTGCAAGTTCATTCATAACATCAAGCTGCTGCTGCTGCTGGACAAGCCATTGGGGTTGAATGGCAATTTCGTTTCTGCAAGCACCGTATTCAAACTTTTTGAATCCCAATGTAACACACTTGATCGCAAGAAGCCTCAATGAACCGCAGATATTTCAAGTTAAGGTTTGTTCATGCACCACTTGTTACCACATGTCATATACTCTGTAGCACAAATCCTTTGTTAAATGTGTAATCTACACAGACGATTAACAGTTAACAGATATTTAGATATGCTGCAATCACTACATTTTTACTGTACAGGCCTAAGAGCAGCAAAGATGTGGTTGAGAATACGAGCAAGGCGCACCCCACCCATGGCAATGCGCATCTCCACTATGGGCAGGCGCGAATCGAAGTACTCATCTATGGAGTTTGATGAAGAAGCCAACAGTGCGGTGCGGTGGGGTTGGGTGACAAGATGGGATGGGCAAGGAAGAACAAAGGAGACAATGGTGAGTGGAGATGGTTGTTGGAGGATTGTTGTGAAAACATAATCATTAATGTGGGAAAAACAAACGAACTGGAAAATTTACCACTTCGGAAGGTATGGCTTGAGGAAGCGGCAAAACAAAAGATTTGAATGCTTTCTTAGCATCTCTTTAAAGGGTCCAGGAAAAAGAATCAAAATTATTGCATGTGCAAAATCACTGCTTGTGACGAAGTAAAAGTTTCTCAAGTACAACGCACCTCCAAGCACAGCTCCAGGTGTCGCGTTGCGATAGGCCCACTTGCATGCATCCTTTGCACTCTCCATGGCATATCTGATTGTGCGAAGTGATGCAAGGAGATGCAAGGAGATGCAAGGAGATGCAAGGAGATGCGAGGAGGTGCAAATAGGTGCGATGAGATACACCGCTGGGCAGCTGGACGGGTGGAACGAGGGGGCGCCAGTCAGAGGCGAGAATGTGGAGAGCAGAGGCACTTACACAGCTGGGCAGGCAGCAGCCTGAGCAGGAGAAAGATGCGATGAGATTTGAGCATCATCAGAAACACCAGAAGCACTAGCAGCAGCAGCAGCAGCAGCAGCAGCAGCAGCAGCAGCAGCAGCAGCAGCAGGAGAAAGAACGTCTCCAGGGCAGGAGGCCCAGGCAGGGATGAGGGGCGGCCAGTCGGAGGCGAGTTGGTGGGCGATGTGATGCAGCATGGCGGTGCTGCTGCCGTTGTAGCGCCGGTGGATGGCCGAATCTATGATAAAGCTGTCCCACACCTGGAGGGATGTGAGGGAGTTTGGGAGGCGTGGAGAGGGGTTGGGACGGGTGGGAGGATGAAGGGACCAGGGCATGTGGGTTGGTGGGAGATGTGATGCAGCATGGCGGTGCTGGTGCCATTGTAGTGCAGGTGGATGGCTGAGGCTACGATGAAGTCGTCCCAACCTGGCGTGGAGAGCGGTGGAGAAGGGTGGAGAGGGGTGGGGAAGGTGAAGGACCCTGAAGGCATGAGGAACGGTGTGATGCAGCAGCAGGCTGGTTCAGCGCAGGTGGATGGCCAAGGCTATGATGTATATGTCCCACACCTGGAGGGATGCGAGATGTTTGAAGAGGAGTGGAGATGGGTGGAAGGGGGTGCGAGGAAAGAAAGGAGGATGCTAGGAGACGTGGTGGAGCATGGCGGTGCAGATGCTGCTGTAAGGGCAATGGATGGCGGTGGGAATGAGGATGATGGATGGCGGTGGCTTGAGAATGAAATGGCATGGTATGCCAATGCCATGGCACAGCAGGGAAGCACACCGCATGTATGGTATGGGATAGTGGACATACTGGCATGGGATGGGATGGCATGGCATGGGATGGGATGGCATGGCATGGCATGGGATGCTACCAGATGGCATGGCATGGTACCAGATGGCATGGAATGGCATGGCATGGCATGGCATGGCATGGTACCAGATGGCATGGCGTGGCATGGCATGGTACCAGATGGCATGGCATGGCATGGCATGGCATGGCATGGTACCAGATGGCATGGCATGTCATGGCAGGGCATGGCAGACAGACATACCGCATGCAGGTTGGTCTTCCTCCTGAACCATGTCACATGCACCCTGTTGCCGCCCAGATCAGATGTGAACCCCACATGCAGCGGCTGGAGCAGGGGGATATGGGGCAGACGAGACGAGTGGAGGCAAAGAAGGGGATAGAGGGACGGATGGGTCACAATATGCTACCAACATCATCTTTTGTACACCTCACCTGATTGGCATACTACCCGATAATAGCTCACCTGATTGGCATACTAACCGATAATAGCTCACCTGATTGGCATACTAAGCGATAATAGCTCACCTGATTGGCATACTAAGCGATAATAGCTCACCTGATTGGCATACTAAGCGATAACAGCTCACCTGATTGGCATACTAACCGATAACAGCTCACCCGATTGGGATACTAACCGATAACGGCTCACCTGATTGGCATACTAACCGATAATAGCTCACCTGGTGCACGTCCCCTGCAAAGTGCGCGAGGAACATGAGTGCCTCTGTCAGGTTGTAGCGTCTTATGGACCCCACATCCAGTGCTGCTTGTTGCTCACTAGCAGCACCACTGGCAGCAGCAGCAGCACCAGCAGCAGCAGCACCAGCAGCAGCAGCACCAGCAGCAGCAGGAGCTGCACTCCACGCACCGTCTCCAACCACTCCCTTTACCACCCGCACCATATCCTCTTCCTCTTCACCCTCCTCCCCTGCTCCCACTTGTCCGTCTCCCTCCTCCTCACCACCCCACAGCACCCCAGATTCTGTCTCATATACCCCTCTGAAAAGGAGACTCCGGCGGTGAGGGGAGGTGGTGAAAATGGCAGGCTTGAAGGGAGAGGCGGATTGGGGGGAGGATGTGGGGATGGAATGATGGCGAGAAGAATGGAGCTGTGTGGAGGAATGTGGAGTGTAAGTGAGGAGCTGGGATGTGTAGTTGATGATAGCGTTGGCAACGCACACTCCGGGGTGATGGGCGAAGGCGCAATCGCCTGAAGGGGAAGGGGAGAGTGGAGGAAGAGAGAGGAGGGAAGGGTAGGAGAGGAGCTGGGGATGTGTAGTTGATGATAGCGCTGGCAACGCACACTCCGGGGTGATGGGCGAAGGCGCAATCGCCTGAAGGGGAAGGGGAGAGTGGAGGAAGAGAGAGGAGGGAAGGGTAGGAGAGGAGCTGGGGATGTGTAGTTGATGATAGCGCTGGCAACGCACACTCCGGGGTGATGGGCGAAGGCGCAATCGCCTGAAGGGGAAGGGGAGAGTGGAGGAAGAGAGAGGAGGGAAGGGTAGGAGAGGAGCTGGGGATGTGTAGTTGATGATAGCGTTGGCAACGCACACTCCGGGGTGATGGGCGAAGGCGCAATCGCCTGGAGGGGAAGGGGAGAGTGGAGGAAGAGAGAGGAGGGAAGGGTAGGAGAGGAGCTGGGGATGTGTAGTTGATGATAGCGCTGGCAACGCACACTCCGGGGTGATGGGCGAAGGCGCAATCGCCTGAAGGGGAAGGGGAGAGTGGAGGAAGAGAGAGGAGGGAAGGATAGGAGAGGAGCTGGGGATGTGTAGTTGATGATAGCGTTGGCAACGCACACTCCGGGGTGATGGGCGAAGGCGCAATCGCCTGGAGGGGAAGGGGAGAGTGGAGGAAGAGAGAGGAGGGAAGTGTAGGAGAGGAGCTGGGGATGTGTAGTTGATGATAGCGCTGGCAACGCACACTCCGGGGTGATGGGCGAAGGCGCAATCACCTGCTAGGAGCAAGTGGGGGAGAGGGGAGGGAGGGAGGGGGAGGGAGGGAGTGGAATGGAAGAGCAGGTGACGCGCTGGGATGTGTAGTTGATGATAGCGCACACTCCAGGGTGATGGGCGAAGGCACAATCGCCTGTGCGGAGGAAGTGGGGGAGAGGAGAGGGAGGGAAGGGGAGAGAGGGAGTGGAATCGAAGAGTAGGTGATGCAGTGGGAGGTGTAATCGGTGATCGCGTTAGCGGCGCACACATTAGGGTGACGGGCGAAGGCACAATCGCCTGTAAAAAATACGCAAAGTGGAGGAAGGGAGAGGAGGGAAGAGAAAAAAGAGGAGGATGTGGCACTGCATCAGCGCGGCATGTGAAGTTAGGGTGTATTATCCGCAGTCACCCAACGCACGCCATTCATGATATGAGCAGGCGAAGTTATTAGTATCAATGATAAATAAGGAGGCAAGGACCAAGCCGATCCCTTGGTGTAGCAAATGGCTTGCTTGGGGTACCGCGCTGTACCATACCTTATTATGCCGTACCTACCCGTGAGTCAGAGAAACTCGCGGTGTTCATCATACGAGCATGCGAAGTCCGGGGTATCAATGAAGTGCAGAGGCGTGGACCAGGCCCACCCCTTGGTGTGCCGAATGGCGCCCGCCGACAAGCACACAGCAGGGAGAGAGAGAGAGAGCACCATTAGGAGCTTGGCTTGGGGTACTGTACCGTACCGTACCGTACCATAACGAAGTGCAGCGTACCCAGTCACCCAACTCACGGCGTTCATCGTAGGAACAAGCGAAGTCAGGGGTATCAATGTAGTGCAGAGGCGCGGACCAGGCCCACCCCTTGGTGTGCGCAATCGCATCAGCCCACAAGCACACGGCAGGGAGGCTGCCCCTGGCCACGGGAGGGAGCAGCGCCGCTACTGCTGCTGCTGCCTCGTCCGTCAACAGGGCCTGGATAGGCGAGGGGGGGTCGGTTCGGAGACGAGGCATACAAGGAAGGACGAGGCATGATCAACCCACAACCCCACGAGCACTCGGCAGGGAGGCTGCGCCTGGCCATGCGGGGGGAGCAGCGCTGCCACTGCTGCTGCTGCTCTGCTTCGTCCGCCAGCAAGGTGTGAGGAGGCAGGCGGGGAAAAACAAGGTACGGTTACATGTTCATAGGCCACGCATTCACGTGATACCATGCCGTCCTTCGGTTTGCTTTGTTTTTTTTTTTTTTTTTTTTTTTTTGCTCTCTCAACTCTTTACGGTGCATGTGAAAACATACGAAACCACCACAGCAATGGCAAAAGTGAACGTGTAGCCGTCGTGGCCCCACGAAACCTCGTGCTGCCTCAGATAGTTATAGGAAAAAAATTAGTTAGCTAATCTACTTAACACAGCTTACCTGGGCGATGGCGCACGTGAACGCGTGGCCGACGTGACCCTCTATTGCGGTCTCACGTAATTACCTATGCTACAAAAAACGATTGATGTACACAAGAAACATACGTAACCGCACCTGAGCAATGGCGCACGTGAACGCGTGGCCGACGTGGCCCCACGCGTGGCACCCGATGCGAGCCCCAGGGAGCAGAGCGAGGAGCGACACGAACGTTACAAGCAAGCGGGGGTGCGACGCGGCGCGAAGAGCGGCTCGAGGAACGACACGCGCCATGGGAACGGGAACGGGAAATTCTTTGAGGAAGACGCCACACGTTAAGATACTTATTCTCGCTGCTTCAGTTAGAGGTCACTAAGAGAGGTAAAGGCGATGGCGGAGGAAAAGCGCGGAGGAGCGGAGGAGTGAATGAGCGGAGAGGCAGAAAAGAAGGGAATTCAGAATTCAGTGAACACCTGCTGCAAGAGGGGTACATGCGTTCTCCACTGCATTGAAATGGCAAATTCGTTTCGACACGTACCGTATTCGAACGTTTTGAAACGCAATAGAACCCACCGGAACCATACCTATTTCGATTTAGGGCATGCCCGGCCAACTTTTTCGGGATCACATCTCACGCAGCTTGTCTAGCGAATCGGTCGCGAAGGCTCGGAAGTCCGGCGAAGCGTCTCCGCACACACTTTACGCTGTTACATCGTTTCGCTAATTCCTCTGTGCTGTCGTAATAGATACGGTACCTGTGCAGTTACGTAGCCCAATGACAAAACTCAAGTATTCGTGCGCTATAATGTGGCTACGGTACTAGGAGAAAACTCCTTGAACAGTAAGATCCATTTCACCAACACTGGTTCTTGTGATCTTGCATTTGTCTCTGTGCCCTAGGTCCTAAGCTTCGGCCCTACCCTACCTAGCTTTTTTGCTTCTCACCTCATATAACACAACCAGCTGCTTCTCACCTCGACTCAAGGAACACATTTGTAACAGTAAATGACTATAGTAGCATGATGCCGCCTTCATCCACCATTGTATCAACCACAGTAGCCAACTTCCCTTCGTACTTCTGCCCTTTCTTCAATCTAAACACCACCGCAAACACATCTACATCCATAGATCTCTCCGCAATCAGCCTCCCAATCACCCGACACGCATTCTCATCCACGAGAGATGGAAGCGACATCCTCAAATCCTTCGCACTCCAGGGACGTCGCTAGGATTTGAGGGTGCCTGATGCATCAGACGGGCCCTTCGGGCCCGTCTGATTCATCAGATTCTGTTTTTTACCGTGTCTGATGTATCAGATACTTTCGAAATGCGTGTCTGGCCAATCGAATGGGCAAATGATTCGGACTTGACCAATCACAGCAGAATCACCCCCTCACAGCAAATTCGGTCCGTCACAGCAGATTCGCTGTCACACTGACACAGCAGATTCGCCCCGTCACAACAATTTCGCCCCTGACACAGCAGATTCGCCCCCTGACACTAACAGATTCACCCCTGACGCATCAGATTCACCCATTCACAACTCGAATCCCATATTCACCCCTGCAGTAATTGGATTCGGTATCAGATGAAACCAAAACATGAACCTGATTGATCAGATTAACTTAAAAACTACTCCTTACCAATCAGAAATTACAAAAACCAATTTCTGAAAAATCAGATGATCTCTAAAAACTCGATCTGAATATAAGACAAACAGACAAAAAATTTCTGCTAGCGACGACCCTGTCGCACTCGTAGTCGCAACCGAAACCACCCGGCTGGTAACCCTATGCATCACTTTCGCGCTCACATAACGCTTGGAAATGTACACGTCAAGAATAAACGGCTTTACGAACTTCTCGTGGCGTTCTTTCCACGACTTGGCCTTGGGCTTGGCTGTCTTGCCGCCGCTGCCTCCTGCTGACTTGCCTCCTTTTCGAGTCCAGCCAGCTGCCTCTGTTTTGGGGAGGATCGGCGTGCTTCTCTGGCTGGTGAGGGTCAGCGAGCTGTCCCACCCCTGCAAGGAAATTAAGGAACAAGGGGAGGGAGGAGCAATGTGAGGTGTTCGCAGGCATTCACTGGGGTGCGTTGAGATGCAGAGGGGATCACAAGGGTGCAGAAGGTTGCGTAGGAAGGAGTGTTTCTCTGGCTGGTGGGGTTGAGCGAGCCGTCCCACTCCTGCAATGGAATCAAGAAACAAGGGGAGGGAGGAGCAATGCGAGGTGTTCGCTTCGCAGGCAACCACTGGGGTGCGTTCAGATGCACAGGAGATCACAGGGATCACATTTTTTTTTCAATCAGCCCGATTATTTTTTAGCGGAGCGTCCAGCGTCTCCGGCTGCGTCCGGACGCGGGACGCTACCCCGCCTAAGAGTCTTTCTCATCAAAGCACAAGGTGCGTAGGGAGGAGTGTTTCTTTGGGTGGTGAGGGTGAGTGGGCTCTCCCACCCCTGAAATGGTGTTTAGGAACAAGGGGAGGGAAGAGCAATGAGAGGTGCTCGCAGGGAATCGCTGGGGTGCGTTGGGGTGCACAGGGGATCACAAGGGGGCAGAAGAGTGCACAAGGGTGCGTAGGAAGGAGTGCTTCTCTGGCTGGTGGCGGCGAGCGAGCTGTCCCACCTCTGCAATAAAATGAAGGAGCAAGGGAGCTAAGAGGGGAAAGAGTAGCAATGTGAGGCATGCACAGGCTGGCACAAGGGTGCACTGAGGTGTACAAGGGATCACAAGGGTGCATAGGGGTGCGTAGGGTTGCAAAGGCGTGTGTGGAAGAGCTCAGGGTTGTATGACAAACGAAGAGAAGCAACAGGATGCGAGAAGTTGAACTCTAGGAGGGAGGGGTTCAGTATGGGGGGGAGATATTATGGATTGGTGGGGGGAAAATAACAAGGCTGGCCCAACACGACTGCATCAACCCTTCTTTGCAATATTAATATACTCCTCCAATGTTTTTGAATCAAAGCACATCAATTCAAGCGACACTCCAAGTATCCAAGAGGACATGTAAGCAACACCCGGCCATATCGCATAGTATCATGCTGCATAGTGTCCTCGTACCCCATACAGCCATACCTCATACCGTCATACCGCATAGAGCCATACGTCATACCGTCATACCCCATAAAGCTATACCCCATACCGTCATACCCCATAGAGCCATACCCCATAGCATCGTACCCCATAGTGCCATACCCCATACGTTGTATCCCATAATGCCATACCCTATTGCGTCATAGCCAATCGTGTCATACCCCATAGTATCATACCGCGTTACGCCATACAGCAGATACAAATGAGCTGGTGCCGATGGAATCGCCGAGAAACTGGGAGGAGCCACGCCATTGGCCTGCAGCGAAACTTGCTGATAGCGGTGCAGCGAAGGGAGCAAGGCTCGTTTGCGATGTACACGAAAAAGCGACACTCGATCGAGAAGGAGCTAGCAGCGGCGCGACGGACCATCGGACGGCGCTCCGCGATATCGCCATCGAGGCCATCCAAAGCGCGCCGATCGCAGCCGGCGTCGCGGAGAGGGCGACTTGCCGTGGACTTACGAGGCTCGCGGTCGCGGAAACAGGGCTACGCGTATGTACTTCGTGGAAGGCGGAGCTTTAGATAACGGCAACGCCGAGTATGGCCTGGTGAGAGTGCTTGCTCTTTTGCTTCTGCACTGTCCTTAGCTGATCCCACTCATGGGTGAACCAAGCTTCGATATAGCAGTAGTGAAGACTCGCGAACTAGTGGGAACACAACCTGGACACCAAGACGGAAATGCGAAAAAAAAAAGGCAGTACAGTCTTACAACGATACAAAACCTACGTATGCTCTAGACATTTTAGGCACTACATACATCTGAGAGTGCTTCAGACAAATATGACTATGCCATTGATAATGCCCGTACCTCCCTCTAGAGTGGATTGGTGCACATGTAAAATATACTACCACATGGATTACTCCACTCTAAAACAACATACTACGGTACTACTACGCAAAATACACCTCTTGCAGCAACTTTGTTTCCTATGTCCACTGTCCCCTCAGAGCAGCTTCTTCCGATGGAAGTAGGAGAGCAAGAACCACAGTTGAATGGATGCTAGAGCCACACATATTAGCAGCGACGTGATACTTATGAAGGCCACCCGCTCGTTGGTCAGCTCATTAGAATCTCGAATCTCCGACTCCCTTTTTCGAAAAAGAACGGGGAACAGATGGGAGAATGTAGAGTTGGGCGAGGAGGGGGTAATAGAAAAGAGTAAGAGAAAAAAAGAAAATAATATGAAAAAAGGGTGTTGGCGAAAGGGAGGAGGATGAAAGAAGGCCGAGACATTGACAATTCGATTTCAACCCATGCGCCACAACAAACAATCCACTGCCCTGATTTTCACTGTTTGACTTGCATTAGCTGGTATCATATCCTGTCTAAGAAACTGTGGGAACAAAGCGCTAGGGTAAAAAGCTGGGGGAATGAAAGCTGAAAAATTGTCGAGCCCTGGTCAAGCTTCACACACGTTTCCTTCCACCTACTTCAATCAAATGCATAAAGTACACACACTCCTCCACCATACCTACCTTTTCCAGGATTTCACATCCTGTTTCACCTGCCCAGCATCTCACCTTCCCTTGTGTCTCACCTCCCCCTGAAGTAGGCCATCTCATCTCAGACGGCCCTCACTGCCTCGTCCCAACTTCCTCAGCTCAGCTCCAACCCCATGCCCTGTTGCGCCCTCAACATTCCACCTGCTCAAAGCGTTCCACCTCCCCAGAATACCACCTCCCCCGCATCTCACCTCCCCCGGAAGTAGGTCATTTCATCTCGGATGGCCCTCACTGTTTCATCCAGCTTCCTCAGCTCCAACCCCATGCCCTGTTGGTCAATCCCATGCCATGCCATACAATGTCATGCATGTCATGCAGACCATGCCATGTCACAGTACATCCGTATCATGCCATGCCATGCCATACCATGCCATGACATGCCATGCCATGCCACGCCATGCCATGCCATGCCATGCCATGCCATGCCATACCATACCATGCTAAAGTACGTGTCAAACAATGGCATGATACATCAATGCCACACATCACCCATGGCATGCCATCCCAAGCATCAGAAAGTTGTGTTTGCCTCAGCTCACTGCCACAGAGATCCAATTCAACTCACTTCACGGACGAGGGGACAGAGACAGCTCACAAACTCAGAGCTCCACTTCTACTCACGTAGCCATATGATAGAGCATGGGGCAACACAGCAAGCAGCAGATACAGCATGGGCATGCATGGACGAGGTAACGGAGACGAGTGACAGCCTCACAGCTCAAATTCAACTGACATGGCCACATGATAGCACATGAATGTGGCATGGCGAGCAACAGGTTTAATAGAGCTTGACTTAGAGCCATGGCCATGCATGGACCAATGAGGGGCGGGCCCTGACAGGTCACTCATTCAAGAGTCATGATGGGTGAAATCCCATCCGAATGACAGTATGTTTGAACATTCTAGAAAATCGAGTAGAGACATGATGGGTCAGTAGGCTCCTTGCTCACATCGATCTTCTCCTTCTTCGCTATGCTCTCCCAGTCCTTGGCTGCCACGCCTGACCGCCACTCCAGGTCCACCTGCTCACACACACACGCACACACATTGCATGGATTTGCCTGAAGTGCTGTGCCCCTCCTGCATTCCACAATGTTTGAGGCGCCTCAAAAATCTCCTGCATTCCACGATGTTTGAGGCGCCTCAAAAATCTCCTGCATTCCACGATGTTTGAGGCGCCTCAAAAATCTCCTGCATTCCACGATGTTTGAGGCGCCTAAAAAATCTCCTGCATTCCACGATGTTTGAGGCGCCTCAAAAATCTCCTGCATTCCACGATGTTTGAGGCGCCTCAAAAATCTCCTGCATTCCACAATGTCCTGCCATCTTACATTCACTCTCTCTCTCTAACACACACTCACACTCGCACGCACGCACGCACACACGCACACACACACACACACACACACACATACTCACACATGCACACATACATACCATGAGGGAATCCTTGCCCGGAGTGCCATGCGGCATCCTGAAGCAAGCCATGAACTGCCCTGACTCCTTGGCTGTGAACCCAGAGTGCCCTCCTCCTCTCCACGCTGCTCTGCCATCTCACATATACTCACTTTCACACAGACCACACTCACACGTACACACATGCATACATACCATAAGGGAATCCTTGCCCGGAGTGCCATGCGGCATCCATGGCATGTGTCATGCCATGACCTGCCCCAACTCCTCATGTTACCATGACACTCCACGAGCCTTGTCATGTCCACACACACAGACACAATCACAGTACTCTTGAGTGTGCGTACCATAGGGAATCCTTGCCCGGAGTGCCATGCGGCATCCAGAAGCAAGCCATGAACTGTCCCGACTCCTTGGCCGTGAACCCGAAGTGCCCCTCCTCCACTCCACGCTGCTCTGTCGCCTTACACTCACTCACTCTCACACACGCACCCACACACACACACTCACTCACTCACTCACTCACTCACACTCGTACTCACGCTCACACACATGCATACATACATACATACCATGAGAGAATCCTTGCCCGGCGTGCCATGCGGCATCCAGAAGCAAGCCATGAACTGCCCTGAATCCTCATGTTACCATGGCAGGCCACGAGCCTCGTCATATCCACAGGCACAGAAACAATCACATAACTCTTGAGTGTGCATACCATGAGGGAATCCTTGCCTGGAGTGCCATGTGGCATCCAGAAGCAAGCCATGAACTGCCCCGACTCCTTGGCCGTGAATCCGAAGTGCCCCTCCTCCACGTCGCTCTGCCAGTGCAGCTGCCGCCCAAACGGGGACGTCACCTGCAGAGCGGTGATGTGCGGTGATGGGATGTTATGTGCGGTATGTCAGCAAGAACAGAGACGAATTTGAGGTGCATTATAAGAAGTGCCCCTCCTCCACATCGCTCTGCCAGTGCGATTGCCGCCCGAACGGGGATGTCACCTGCCGTGCGGTGATGTGCGGTGATGTGAGGTGATGTGGTGTGATGGGATGTTATGTGAGGTATGTTAGCATGAATAGGGATGATTCTGAGGCGCCTCAAAAGAAATGCCCCTCCTCCATGTCGCTCTGCCAGTGCAGTTGCTGCCCGAACAGGGATTTCACCTGCCATTATGGGATGTGCAATGATGTGCGGTAATGTGTGGTGATGGGATGTGATGTGAGATATGTAAGCTTGACCAAAGACGACGTTTAGGTGCCTCAAAAGAAGTGCCCCTTCCTCCACGTCGTTCTGCCAGTGAAGCTGCCACCCACGCGGAGATGCCACCTTCCATGGCTGATGTGATGCGATGTGATGTGATGTGATGGGATGGGATGGGATGGGATGGGATGGGATGGGATGGGATGGGATGGGATGGGATGGGATGGGATGGGATGGGATGTTATGTGATGTGATGGGATGGGATGGGATGGGATGGGATGGGATGGGATGGGATGGGATGGGATGGGATGGGATGGGATGGGATGGGATGGGATGGCATGGGATGAGATGGGATGGGATTGGATGGGATGGGATGGGATGTGATGGGATGGGATGGGATGGGATGGGATGGGATGGGATGGGATGGGATGGGATGTTATGTGATGTGATGGGATGGGATGGGATGGGATGGGATGGGATGGGATGGGATGGGATGGGATGGGATGGGATGGGATGGGATGGGATGGGATGGGATGGGATGGGATGGGATGTTATGTGATGTGATGTGATGTGATGGGATGGGATGGGATGGGATGGGATGGGATGGGATGGGATGGGATGGGATGGGATGGGATGGGATGGGATGGGATGGGATGGGATGGGATGGGATTGGATGGGATGGGATGGGATGTGATGGGATGTGATGGGATGGGATGTGATGGGATGGGATGGGATGGGATGGGATGGGATGGGATGGGATGGGATGGGATGGGATGGGATGCGATGTGATGTGATGTGACACGATGTGATGTGATGTGATGTGATGTGATGTGATGTGATGTGACGCGATGCGATGTGATGCGATGTGATGTGATGTGACGCGATGTGATGTGATGTGATGTGATGTGATGTGATGTGATGTGATGTGATGTGATGTGATGTGACGCGATGCGATGCGATGTGATGTGATGTGAGGTTCGTCAACCCTGCCACGCCATGCCACGCAGGAACACGCTGTGCCATGAGGTATGTTAGCCATGTCATGTCATGCCATGCCCTGCTGCCCCGTATCAACGCACAGCATAATCAGCGCATTGTGGTGGCTCATGGTGTCTTAGATAAATGATACTCATGACTAGTTTGCTGAATATTTTGCATACGTGTGGGCTCGACCAGCACAACCAGCACTTTCGGTGATGTTGGTGTATGTCGCAACGACAAGAGTACCCTGGAGAATGAATTTCCTTATAATCACATCGCCCTTTCACAATACAGGAGCGATTTATCTGCCTACCTTGACACCACTCGACACCACTAATTACGTTCCCACGACAAGAGTACCCTGTAGAGTGAACCTCCTTATAATCACGTCTCCCCTTCACCACATTACTGGAGCAATTCATCCGCCTACCTTAGCGGTGATCTTGGTGTGACCGCTGCTCTCGCCGCTCAGCACTACTTGGTACGTCGCGATGACGAGGGTCCCCTCCTGAATCAAACCTTGTTATAATAACAACTCCATTCAAGATGAATATGGTATTTCGCCTACCTTAGCGGTGATCTTGGTGAGAGGGCTACTCTCGCCGCTCGGCACCACTTGGTACGTCGCGACAACAAGAGTCCCCTCCTGAACCTCCTCGCCGAGACACTTGCTATACGCCGTCACCTCGAACCGGATGCCCGCCACGTGGCTGAATCCGACCGCTAGGATCAGCAAGCACGCTACCAGCCGAGGCGCGGAGACTATTGCCATTGTGACCAGTTTGGATGGGAATGAAATCCCACTAGGTCTGAATCTGTCGAGAGATTAGAAGACAACCAGTCCGGCTACTACTTAGCAGGATATTGACGGGAAAATAAGAAGGGATCAAGCGTCAATGATTCCGCATTGTAGTAGAAACGAGGAAGGCTAGAATCGCGGACTTAGCTGGGCAATGCTGACTGTCCAGTGCGGACGAAACTCGGAAAAGGTTCCGTTATTAGCACCTCGAGGCTCCTACGTAAATGTGACCAAACGCGAACGAAAGGCCACACCAGCCTGACGATTATTGACTTGGCAGCCGTAGCTGCTGCAAATCCGCCGCCTCTGCTCTGATTATACCGCAGCAGTGGTGTTGGTGCGGGTGGGCCTGAAGAGATAGATCCAGCCTTGATGTTGCTGACGAGAGTTGTGTTTGCCAGGCTGGTGTGGCAATGGCAATCAATAGCACACGATTTCTTCGCAAGAAACAATGTTTTGGGTTTGAAACCGCTCTAAACCACTCAAAACGACTCGGGAATCGTTCATTGAAATCATTCTGCTTTTGACAACCAAAACACGAATGTCTTTCCTGCATACGCGATATTGACTGCTCCACTCGTATTGTCCTCCATCTCTAAAAATTCCGTTCTGTCGACTGCTGGACTCCTACTAGTGAGTACCAGGGACTATGAGCGACAAGCAGTGACAACAAGCGATCATTATCGAAAAGTAGAGACGATCAGCGACAAGTAGCGACGACTAGCGACTACGAGCAGTTGTACACCTGCAGGACCTGGGACAGCCTTGGTCCATAGAGTGCGACCGCTACCGCATCGAATGCGAGAGAAGCGCGAAGGATGTGTCAATCTTGTGGCGTATGTATGACGAAATGCGGCGAATAACTGACGACAGGCGACCGTTACCGACCATGCTCGACCGCTCCTCATAAAACACGCTTCAGTTACTAACGCGTACGCAGCCATTGCAGTTATGAAGCTGACGCAGGTGCTGTCGCAAGCGCACGCGACAGCTGGTTACAATCGCAACAAGTTCCTCGTTTTCGCGCTGCTGTGCACCAACTGCTTCACCCTCGTCACTCTCTACGGGTACGCGTACTGGCCGGGACTCGTTACCGTTACACGCCCCTGTCCTCCATACCTCTCCACATCCTCCCGAGGCCTCGAGAGTCCTCATTTTCCCCAATTTCCTGTCCAACGCACCTCTCCCCCACCACCCGTGTTTCTCTTCTGAGTCGATTTCCTATTTGATCTCCCACCCCACAGCCCCTGACTTGCTTCTACCGATCACACTCAGCCTCCACTGAACCCCCCTGTTCCCTTTCCGCTCCCCCCAAGTCCCCCCTCCCCCCCTCTCTCCCCTTCCCCCAACCAGCACCGTCCCCCGGTTTTCCGGGACTCTGGATATTGACGACGCCGCTGACGTGGATCTGCGCAGCAGCAGCGGCGGGGAAGGGCGCGGAGGGGAAAGCGCATGGGGGGAGGAAGGGGGTGGCGCGCTTGGGACGGGACAGGGGGGGACATCTGCGCTGCGCCTCTCCAATGCTACAGACCGCACTTTCAAGCGAGGGTTTGGCATGCAGGTGAGTCTGTTGGAGCCGGGGATGGGGCCAGGAAAGGGGGGAAGGAGGGAAGGGGGACAGCTGGGCTGGGGGAGGTTGAAAAGCAGGGGCCAGGGAAAGACGCCTGCGCTGCGCCTCTCCAATGCTACAGATCGCACGCTCAAGCGAGGGTTTGGCATGCAGGCGAGTATGTGTGAGCTGGGGATGGGGCTGGGAGGAGGGGGAAGGGGAGCGGGAAGGGGAAAGGGGAAGAGGGAGGGGGATGGAAAGCAGAGGGCAGGGAAAAAATTGCTGCGCTGCGCCTCTCCAATGCCACAGATCGCACGTTCAAGCGAGGGTTTGGCATGCAGGTGAGTGTTCTAAGTCGACTTACAAGCAAAGGATACCTGGGGCGAGGATGAGGAGAAGAGGGCAAAGGGGATGTCAGTCAGATATCTCTTCGCTCCACCTCTCCAACGCCACAAATTGCACGTTCAAACGAGGAGGACTCGTCATGCAGGTGAGTGCATGCAGATGCAAGCTGGGCTCTCGTTTTAGGATAAGTTGCTCTTTTGAGTCGACTCAAAAGCCAGCTCGTTAGGATGAGTTGCTCTTCTTGTATGTATGACCTCTCAACCAGCATAATCATCATCCTGTCTACGTTCCAACCACCAGCAATTGGGCCTCAATGCTTGTGGTTGTTGTCTGAGTGGTTATTCCTTGCTACCAAACCATCGAGGTTGCTGCTCATTTCTTGCTCCCCTCCCCTTGCATTCTCCCTCCCTCCCTCCCTCGCTGTGCGCCTGCCAGGGCTTTGTGTATTTCAGCGCGTACCGCCTCTCTGCAAGCCTCTTTCTCTCCGCTTCACATGCATCGCTCCCATCCCCTTTCCCATGCGCGCCTGCCAGGGCTTTGTGTATTTCAGCGCATACCGCCTCTCTGCAAGCCTCTTTGTGGTGATTGGCCTCTCTCCTCTGCCTCTGCACCGCAACCTCGATGCTCGGGTGTGCCGGTGAGTTGTCTCCTCTCCACTTGGGGCGATTTACGCAGTGGGCTGTATGAGGTAGATATGCTGTCCTGTTCCCCTTGGTGTCTATTGTGCTGCTCTTGAGTCGCCTCATAAGTGGTGCCAATGTTGTTCGGTGTGTTCCCCCTTGCTCTAACTCTGCTGCTCTGCTCCAACCTTCACTTGCTCTCCCTCCTCTGATCCGTCCTCCATATTGGCTTCTTCGTTTCCAGCTGGTATCCTGCCACGTCATCCTCCTCCCCTATCCTTGGCGAAGTCTCGATAGAATACCCCGGCGAATCGCACAGCAAGCCGTATGAGGTGGCAATGCTGTTCTGCCAGCTCAGCAGCCCCACCCCCAGCACAAGAGAGCGGGGGCGGAAAGGGGACGGGCGGCGGAGTGCGGGGGGCCATCTGACGGTTGTGATCGAACGAGAGGAGATCTTGGTGCTCGGCGAACCGGCCAATGAGAAGTTGCCACTCGAGGTGTGTAGGGTTGCGGTGCAGGTGCTTCTATTGTGCTCCTCCTATAACGAGGGACGTTGGTCCAGTCCGTTCTATTCCATTCCTGCGTGCTTCCTCCCTCCTCTCCCTCTCCCATTCCCCATCTACCAACGCAGCCACAGCATAGACCCTTTCTCCCTCCACACCCTCTCCCTTCCACCCTCCTCTCCCTTTCTCCCCCAAGCCAACCCCCAGCCGTCAGCCCCCTACCACAGCAACATCACCTACTACTCCTCGCCCATCTATGGCCAGTTCAACTCCCTCAGAGTCCTCGAGTGGGTGGTATACCGATAGAATTGGAACTGAACTGATTGCTTGGTAAGGAAGGCACTAGGCCTTAAGTACAAACAGGGTTGGGTTGAGCAAAGCTAGGGAAAGGATGGGATGGGAATCCTAGCAAATCTCCAATTGGTGAGTTGGCAGATTTGCAGGATTACGAGGGAATCCCAACCAGATAAGGTTGAGATTACAAATCTACACCCAACCTACAAAGTAACCTAACCGATATAGAATATAGTACAAAGTGTTGACTGACTATTTCTAACACACCCCCTAGGCTGACAGCACTTCAGCCACATGGCGGCCCAACACCCATGAACGAGAGGAGGCGGTAGTGGTCTTGGCGAACAAGAGACTTGGTAAACAAGTCAGCAAGGTTGCAGTCGGAGGCAATGTGTTCAGCCTTCAGCTGCTCGCGCTGCACCAGCTCACGAAGAAAGTAGTGACGGACCTCAATGTGCTTGGTGCGGCCGTGGAAGACGGGGTCCTTTGTGAGATGAATGGTGCTCTCGTTGTCACACCAAAGCGTTGGGGCTGGTTGAGGATACCCAAGTTCTGCCAGCAAGAAGGAGAGCCAACGGGCCTCTTAGGCAGCCATGGTCCCGGCATACAGCTCTGCCTCACAGGTCGACAGTGAGACGGAAGACGACCGAGTGGAGCGCCAACTAACAACCCCACTGCCAAGGGTAAAGCAATACCCTTGGGAAGAGCGCCGATCACTCTGGTCATCAGCATAAGACGAGTCACTGTACCCCTCAAGGCGAACAGGGGAAGAGCCGCCAAGAGTGAGCACATAATCCTGTGTGCCTTTGAGATAGCGGAGGACCCGCTTGGCGGCAGACCAGTGGTGGCTCGTGAAGCGACCAGGTGCAACGTAGCGAGACAGGACAGGACACTGACTGGATAGGCCAAGTCTGGTCGAGTGCACATCATCGCGTACATGAGGGAACCGACGAGCTTGGGGTAAGCCTCATCACAAGGCTCAGGTGAGGGAACAGAGGGTGCAGTGAGTTGGTGCTGCAGAGAGAGTGGGGTGGGCATTGAAGCTGCTTCCTGCATCTTGAACCTGGTCAGAACATTGTTGATGTAGAACTTCTGCGAGAGGGTGATGGTGCGGGCCGTGCGATCACGTGTGATTTCCATGCCCAGATAGTTCGTCAGCTTCCCAAGATCCTTCATGGCCAGCTTCTCACCAAGTGCGGTTTTGACTGTTGCCAGCTCAGTCTGATCCTTGGTGACAAGGATCATGTCATCGACATAAACCAAGATGAAGAAGCAGGATGGTGTTGCTCGGACGAAGAGGCTGGGGTCAGAGGTGGATGGGTGAAAGTCGAGGGACCCTAAGGTGCTCTTGAGCTTGTTGTGCCATTCCCGGGGTGCTTGCTTGAGGCCATAGACTGGTCGATCCAGCTTCCATACAGTGCCTGGTGGAAAGGGAGCTGGAAATCCTTCGGGCAGCTCCATCTAGATTTCCTCTCGAATGATCCCTTGCAGAAACGCAGAGGACACATCCATGCAGTCAACCTCCATGTCATCTCGAGCGGCAACGTCGAGAAGGGTGCGCAGTGTGGGAGGTTTGGCGGTGGGAGAGAATGTCTCAAAGAAGTCCAGTCCATGCTTTTGGGTAAATCCCTTGACACAATACTAGGCTTTGAAGGCGGGAAATTCGCCTGGAAGTTGTTTCACTCAGAAAACTCATTTTCCCTTCACAATGTTGACACCGGAGGGAGGAAAGACATCTGTGAAAGTTCCTGTGTGAATGAAGGCCTCACCCTTTGCTACAATGGCCCCTAGCCACTGAGCGGCGTGAGGACCAGAAACTGCTTCAGCATAGGTGAGAGGTGTGGGGATGGAGGGGTTGTCCGAGAAGTTGAAGGTGGGAGATTCTGCGATATCTGGAAAGAGGGAGCAGAGTGCGTGTATGGCTGAGTCAATCTCAATCAACTCCTCATGTCTGTCCTCAAGAAGGGAGGGCATGAGCGAATAATCACCCCCGAGAGGAGGAGGATTGAGAGAGACACGAATGGAAAGGGAAAGAGGCTTGGGAGCTTTGCGCGAGCGGGTGCGACCAGTGATGGGGGAGGGAGGCGGAGCTGGAGGAGGGGAAGCAGCAGGTGTAGTGGCAGCATCAGGAACAGCAGCTGGATCAGGAGCAGGAGCCAGATCAAGAGCAGGAGCTGGATCAGGAGGAGGAGCAGCAGCAGCAGGACGGCGTTGGTAGGTTTTGAGAGGAATGGGCTCGGGGGCGGGTTGGAGCGAGGGAGACTGCGTGGTGCTGGATGGGGAAGCGGGTGACGGGGGGTCGGAAACTGTGGAGGGAGCAGGAAGAGGAGGAGATGGAGTGGTGGCAAGAGGAAGGCTGTCAAAGTCAGCCCAAGTAAGAGAGGGAGGCGGAGGAGAAGGAGAAACTGTGGAGGAGGGGTAGAATGGGTGGGATTCATCGAAGAAAACATTTCGGTTGCGATAGAGTTTGTTGGTGGGAGGATGGAGGAAGAGGTAGTCTGGCGAGTCCGAGTTGTGCCCGAGGTACACGCACGTGATTGTTTTCGGAGCAAGCTTGCCGCCAGCTGCGCGACGGGCTTGGGAGTTGAGGAGGACATAGGAAGTGCACCCCCATACACAAAGAGGGCGGACAGACGGCTTTTGACCCGTCCACAGCTCTGCGGGGGTGGTGTGGGTGTGGTGAGGATGAGGATGGAGATTGTGGAGGGCGGCAGCATGGAGCATGGCGTATCCCCAAAGAGAGGGAGGGGCGGAAGCATGAGTGAGGAGGCAGCGAGCAATCTGCACCAGGATGCGGTTTCGGCCCTCAGCAACACCGTCCTGTTGAGGGCTGTCTGGGAGAGTGAAGGTCTGACGAATACCCTCAGTAGAGCAGAAAGCTTTGAGAGTGTTGCGGAATTCACCGCTACTGTCAGAGTGAAGAATCTTGATTTTTGAAGTGTGAATGAGCCTGCCTGGCCCATTCCATGATGATGGCTGGGGCTTCAGACTTGGTGGTGAGAAGGTGAACGAACACATAGCGGGAATAGTCATCAACGATGACAAGGAAGTAGAAGTGTCCGCCACGGGAACGAACAGGAGCTGGACCCCAAAGGTCCATGTGTACGCGATCGAGAGGTGCGGTAGAGATGGACTCAGTGGGAGGATGGGGCTGTTCCCGAAGCTTGCTCTGTGCACAGTCAGGGCAAGGCGGTCCAGAAAGAGAGGGGGGTTGTGGAAGTGAGGCGGGCAGCCCATGAAGGAGTTGTTTGGTGGCAAGGTCTGAAAGTGCGCGGAAGTTGATGTGGCCGAGGCGGTTATGAAATAGCGTAGTCTTGTCAGTGAGGAGGCGGCAGTGACATGAGGGGGAGTCTGAGGATGGAAGCGGAAGGTTGGTGAGGGAGCATGTTTGAACGGGAGGTACAACTAGTGTGTACAGGTTGTTGGAGTTGAGGGTGAAGCGAGCAAGATGGAGTCCAGTTTTGGCGTCAAACATGTCACAGTAGTCAACATCATTGGGAAATATGGTGATCACGCCTGCGTGTTGGATTTCCCGCTGTGCAAGGAGGTTGTAGCGGAGGGTGGGGGCACAGATGCCAATGACTGTGCCGGATGGGAAAGCTGGACACCGATGTACTGCGACCCCTTCTCATTAATAAGACCAGCACCAGAGAACAACAGGTTAAGGCGAACATCAGATGGGGCACTAGCAAATGCCTGAGAAGGCTCCTCCACTGCCTCGACCTGGTTCACGCGACAGGGTGGTGCCCAGTTGGGAGGGCGCTTGTCCTTGGAGACACCGTGGACGTCATACCACTCATCATCTCGCTTCTTGAAGCAAGTTGCCTCAGGGTGGTTGGTGCCATTGCATTTCTGCCCCGCACGTGGACCCTTCCTAATGAGGTACTGGCATGGGGGAAAGGAGTTGCGCCGCTGGACCTGTTCTGCTGCGCCGCTGAAAACCTGTTCCGCTGCGCCGCTGGACCTGTTCCGCTGCGCCGTTGAAAACCTGTTCCGCTGCGCCGCTGGACCTGTTCCGCTGCGCCGCTGGACCTGTTCTGCTGCGCCGCTGAAAACCTGTTCGAAGTTAAGAAGATGCGGAAAATTGCCACGGAGATATAAACACCAGAAGCTTACGATGAAGGAAGTCGAAGGCAGAGAATGTCGCCGTTGAAAAACGAGATGCGCGATGAAGGAAGCCGAATGCGCGCTTGACCGGAGCGACGATGTGAAGTTTTTGAAAAACGCTAAGCGTAGGAGCCGAGAACCGAAATAGGCATAGCCTAGAAGGAGAGAACCATCGGGACGCCAAGGATCGGATTCCGCGTGAGCGGAATTTACTAGCTCGATACCATGATAGAATTGGAACTGAACTGATTGCTTGATAAGGAAGGCACTAGGCCTTAAGTACAAACAGGGTTGGGTTGAGCAAAGCTAGGGAAAAGATGGGATGGGAATCCTAGCAAATCTTCAATTGGTGAGTTGGCAGATTTGCAGGATTACGAGGGAATCCCAACCAGATAAGGTTGGGATTACAAATCTACACCCAACCTACAAAGTAACCTAACATCAGATGGGGCACTAGCAAATGCCTGAGAAGGCTCCTCCACTGCCTCGACCTGGTTCACGCGACAGGGTGGTGCCCAGTTGGGAGGGCGCTTGTCCTTGGAGACACCGTGGACGTCATACCACTCATCATCTCGCTTCTTGAAGCAAGTTGCCTCAGGGTGGTTGGTGCCATTGCATTTCTGCCCCGCACGTGGACCCTTCCTAATGAGGTACTGGCATGGGGGAAAGGAGTTGCGCCGCTGGACCTGTTCTGCTGCGCCGCTGAAAACCTGTTCCGCTGCGCCGCTGGACCTGTTCCGCTGCGCCGTTGAAAACCTGTTCCGCTGCGCCGCTGGACCTGTTCCGCTGCGCCGCTGGACCTGTTCTGCTGCGCCGCTGAAAACCTGTTCGAAGTTAAGAAGATGCGGAAAATTGCCACGGAGATATAAACACCAGAAGCTTACGATGAAGGAAGTCGAAGGCAGAGAATGTCGCCGTTGAAAAACGAGATGCGCGATGAAGGAAGCCGAATGCGCGCTTGACCGGAGCGACGATGTGAAGTTTTTGAAAAACGCTAAGCGTAGGAGCCGAGAACCGAAATAGGCATAGCCTAGAAGGAGAGAACCATCGGGACGCCAAGGATCGGATTCCGCGTGAGCGGAATTTACTAGCTCGATACCATGATAGAATTGGAACTGAACTGATTGCTTGATAAGGAAGGCACTAGGCCTTAAGTACAAACAGGGTTGGGTTGAGCAAAGCTAGGGAAAAGATGGGATGGGAATCCTAGCAAATCTTCAATTGGTGAGTTGGCAGATTTGCAGGATTACGAGGGAATCCCAACCAGATAAGGTTGGGATTACAAATCTACACCCAACCTACAAAGTAACCTAACATCAGATGGGGCACTAGCAAATGCCTGAGAAGGCTCCTCCACTGCCTCGACCTGGTTCACGCGACAGGGTGGTGCCCAGTTGGGAGGGCGCTTGTCCTTGGAGACACCGTGGACGTCATACCACTCATCATCTCGCTTCTTGAAGCAAGTTGCCTCAGGGTGGTTGGTGCCATTGCATTTCTGCCCCGCACGTGGACCCTTCCTAATGAGGTACTGGCATGGGGGAAAGGAGTTGCGCCGCTGGACCTGTTCTGCTGCGCCGCTGAAAACCTGTTCCGCTGCGCCGCTGGACCTGTTCCGCTGCGCCGTTGAAAACCTGTTCCGCTGCGCCGCTGGACCTGTTCCGCTGCGCCGCTGGACCTGTTCTGCTGCGCCGCTGAAAACCTGTTCGAAGTTAAGAAGATGCGGAAAATTGCCACGGAGATATAAACACCAGAAGCTTACGATGAAGGAAGTCGAAGGCAGAGAATGTCGCCGTTGAAAAACGAGATGCGCGATGAAGGAAGCCGAATGCGCGCTTGACCGGAGCGACGATGTGAAGTTTTTGAAAAACGCTAAGCGTAGGAGCCGAGAACCGAAATAGGCATAGCCTAGAAGGAGAGAACCATCGGGACGCCAAGGATCGGATTCCGCGTGAGCGGAATTTACTAGCTCGATACCATGATAGAATTGGAACTGAACTGATTGCTTGATAAGGAAGGCACTAGGCCTTAAGTACAAACAGGGTTGGGTTGAGCAAAGCTAGGGAAAAGATGGGATGGGAATCCTAGCAAATCTTCAATTGGTGAGTTGGCAGATTTGCAGGATTACGAGGGAATCCCAACCAGATAAGGTTGGGATTACAAATCTACACCCAACCTACAAAGTAACCTAACATCAGATGGGGCACTAGCAAATGCCTGAGAAGGCTCCTCCACTGCCTCGACCTGGTTCACGCGACAGGGTGGTGCCCAGTTGGGAGGGCGCTTGTCCTTGGAGACACCGTGGACGTCATACCACTCATCATCTCGCTTCTTGAAGCAAGTTGCCTCAGGGTGGTTGGTGCCATTGCATTTCTGCCCCGCACGTGGACCCTTCCTAATGAGGTACTGGCATGGGGGAAAGGAGTTGCGCCGCTGGACCTGTTCTGCTGCGCCGCTGAAAACCTGTTCCGCTGCGCCGCTGGACCTGTTCCGCTGCGCCGTTGAAAACCTGTTCCGCTGCGCCGCTGGACCTGTTCCGCTGCGCCGCTGGACCTGTTCTGCTGCGCCGCTGAAAACCTGTTCGAAGTTAAGAAGATGCGGAAAATTGCCACGGAGATATAAACACCAGAAGCTTACGATGAAGGAAGTCGAAGGCAGAGAATGTCGCCGTTGAAAAACGAGATGCGCGATGAAGGAAGCCGAATGCGCGCTTGACCGGAGCGACGATGTGAAGTTTTTGAAAAACGCTAAGCGTAGGAGCCGAGAACCGAAATAGGCATAGCCTAGAAGGAGAGAACCATCGGGACGCCAAGGATCGGATTCCGCGTGAGCGGAATTTACTAGCTCGATACCATGATAGAATTGGAACTGAACTGATTGCTTGATAAGGAAGGCACTAGGCCTTAAGTACAAACAGGGTTGGGTTGAGCAAAGCTAGGGAAAAGATGGGATGGGAATCCTAGCAAATCTTCAATTGGTGAGTTGGCAGATTTGCAGGATTACGAGGGAATCCCAACCAGATAAGGTTGGGATTACAAATCTACACCCAACCTACAAAGTAACCTAACCGATATAGAATATAGTACAAAGTGTTGACTGACTATTTCTAACATATACCACCAGCGCAGCACCACCACTGGATGGACCCGCTCTCCTCTCCCTCCTTCTCCACTGTTCCTTCCCTCTGTCTGTCCTGCTCCCAGCCCCCAGCTCCCTATCACAGCAACATCACCTACTACTGCTCACCCATCTACGGCCAGTTCAACTCCCTGAGAGTACTCGAGTGGGTGGTATACCACCAGCAGGGCCACAGCCACTGTGTAAACCTGCTCTCTCTCCCCTCTTTTTGCCCTGCTCCCACCCAGCCCTCAGCCCCCTACCCCAGCAACATCACCTACTGCTCCTCGCCCATCTACGGCCAGTTCAACTCAACTACTTCAGAGTGCTCGAGTGGGTGGTATACCACCAGCAGGGCCACGGAACAGACCTCTGCTCTATATTTTCCCTGCCGTTTCCCCACCCCTTACCCCCATCCCCAGCCCTCAGCCCCTTACGCGAGTAACATCACCTACTGCTCCTCACCTATATATGGCCAATTCAACTCTTTGAGGGTCCTCGAGTGGGTGGTATACCACCAGCGGGGCCACGGGGTGGATCTGTTCCACATGTACGATGCGGGCGGCATGGGCGAGCCTATAATGCGGACGCTGGGTCCTTTTATAAAGGCGGGGCAGATGACTGTAACGGACGTGACTGAAGTGGACGAATTCGAGACATGGTTCGGGCAGGTGAGGGGGATTCGGGAGAAGGGGAAAAGGGGGAAGGAGGGGGGGAAGTGTGGGAGGTAGGGGGAGCATGGGCGAGCCTGTAATGAGGGTGCTCGCTCCAGTTTTATCCTCTCAGGCTCAGAGTGTTCGAGTGGGTGGTATACCACCAGCACGGCCACGGGGTGGATCTGTTCCACATGTACGATGCAGGCGGCATGGGCGAGCCTATAATGCGGACGCTGGGTCCCTTTATAAAGGAGGGACAGATGACTGTAACGGATGTGACTGAAGTGGACGAATTCGAGACGTGGTTTGGGCAGGTGAGGGGAAGTGGGCAGATGAGAGGGAATAGGCAGGCGAGGAGGAAGGGGCAGGTGAGAAGGAAGGGGCAGGTGAGAAGGAAAGGGCAGGTGAGAAGGAACGGGCAGGTGAGAAGGAACGGGCAGGTGAGAAGGAAAGGGCAGGTGAGAAGGAAGGGGCAGGTGAGAAGGAACGGGCAGGTGAGACGGAACGGGCAGGTGAGAAGGAACGGGCAGGTGAGACGGAACGGGCAGGTGAGACGGAACGGGCAGGTGAGAAGGAACGGGCAGGTGAGACGGAACGGGCAGGTGAGAAGGAACGGGCAGGTGAGACGGAACGGGCAGGTGAGACGGAACGGGCAGGTGAGAAGGAACGGGCAGGTGAGACGGAACGGGCAGGTGAGAAGGAACGGGCAGGTGAGACGGAACGGGCAGGTGAGACGGAACGGGCAGGTGAGAAGGAACGGGCAGGTGAGACGGAACGGGCAGGTGAGAAGGAACGGGCAGGTGAGACGGAACGGGCAGGTGAGACGGAACGGGCAGGTGAGAAGGAATGGGCAGGTGAGACGGAACGGGCAGGTGATGGGGAATTGGATTTGCACCTTTCAGGTCCTTTTTCACCTCTCTCTGAGTTCTGAATTGACTTTTGTGTCGACTCAAAAGTCAACTTTGCGCCTTTTCAGGTCCCTCTTCACCTCTCTCTGAGTTCTGAAATACATTCATAAATGACAGACCGACTACCCATCCTCACCTTCTCTGCCCACCTTCCCGTTTCCCCTCCCCGCCCATCAATCAGATGCCAGTGTTCAACGACTGAGTTACTTTTGAGAATTCTCAAAAGTAAACTCAACACAGGGAGTGTAAGAGGGGGGACTGGATTTGCCCCAATCAAGTCCTAGTGGTCAACGTCTGCACCTATCGCTCCCTCTTCCCTTCTCACTGGGTTCTGAAATACATTCTTAGTTGCTAACCCCTTTCTGTCCACCTCCCCACACCCCTACCCCCTACCCAACCAGGTGCTAGTGGTCAACGACTGTGCCTACCGCTCTCTCTTCACCTCTCGATGGGTGCTCTTTCTCGACCTGGACGAGTACCTCTATGTCTCCCAGCCACTGGGCTCGTCCCTCATCACCGCACTCACTCGCTACGAGGTCAGTCAGTGTGCTTCCTATCAACTCGCTCGCTCGCTCTTCACCTCCCGCTGGGTCCTCTTCCTGGCCTTGGACGAGTACCTCTACGTCTCCCAACCGTTGGGCTCTTCCCTCATCACAGCACTCGCACGCTATGAGGTGACTCCAATCTCCTCCCTCCGAATCTTTGCCTCCTGCTCTCGCTGTGCCCTCTTTCTCGACTTTGACGAGTACCTCTACGCCTCGCAGCCTCTCGGATCTTCCCTCATCACCGCACTCAATCGCTACGAGGTAAGTCTGATGTGCGTCCACTTAGCGTTTGCCATTACCTCTCGACGGGTGCTCTTCCTGGGCTTTGACGAGTACCTCTATGTCTCACAGCCGTTTGGCTCTTCTCTCATCACCGCACTCTCTCGCTATGACTCGAGGTGAGTCCGTTGTTCTCCCTTTGACTCTTCGTCTCCTGCTCTCGATGGGTGCTCTGCTCTTCCTTGACTTCCGTGTCGGGCAGCTTGGCCCTTACCTCTACGTCTCGCAGCCCCTCGCCTCTTCCCTCGTCACTGCGCTAGTTAAGCATGACGTGAGTCACCTGTGCTCCTCCAGCTGCTTCCCTCCATTCCATGCTCCTGCCGGGTGCTCTTCCTTGACTTGGACTCGACGAGTACCTCTACCTCTATGTCTCGCAACCCCTCGCCTCTTCCCTCATCACCGCACTTGCTAGGCATGAAGTAAGTCCCATGTGCTTAGTCTTAATGTCTGCCTTCACCTCACCTCACCTCACCTCACCTCACCTCACCTCACCTCACCTCACCTCACCTCACCTCACCTCACCTCACCTCACCTCACCTCGCCTCACCTCACCACTTCCTTGACCTTAACGAGTACCTCTATGGTTCTTCTCTCATCACTGCACTCACTCGCTGTTCTTCCTTTGACTCTTACCGCTCGCTCCTGCTGGGTGCTCTTCCCTGACTTTGATGAGTACCTCTTTGTGTCACAACCGCTAGGGTCATACCTCATTACTGCACTCACTCTCTATGAGGTGAGTCAGTGTTCTCATTGACTCTTTGCCTCCTGCTCCTGCAGGGTGCTCTCCCTTTGACTCGAGTCTTCTCTTCTGCGGCCTTTCTTCTCCTCCCTTTTCTCACTTGCTCCCTCCCTTCCCCGTGCATACGTGTCATTCGGCAGTCTCTATTTATACACTGACAAGTTTTCGCACTGAATGAACGTGGCAGCTACTGGATCAAAGAAAGCAACCAACCCAGTGAACGTCTGAGCCACTGAGGCAAGCCACTCAGTTTACTTTACCTCTTATTCCCGCCCTCCTCTATGCAGGAAGCAGCCTACGTCTCCTTTGGCAGTCTTTACTTTTACACCGACAAGTGCTCGCACTCCATGAACGTGTCTGCCTCATCCCCACCCCGCTGGGAGGTGGAGAGGATGATATTCCGCCAGACGGACTGCTTCTTCAAGGAGAAAATCTGGCGCTCTCCGTCCGGATTGTCTGCTGCCGCTGCTCAATCTTTGTTTTCTGTGTCCTCTCGTATCCACCCTCCCTTTCCATGCAGCAAGCAGCCTACGTGTCATTCGGCAGTCTCTACTTTTACACGGACAAGTGCTCGCACTCAATGAACGTCTCTGCCTCGTCGCCCCCCCGCTGGGAGGTGGAGAGGATGATTTTCCGCCAGGCAGACGTGCACTGTGTGGCGCCCAAGCGTTATGAGTCGCGCGATATGTGCCTGGGGTTTGATGGGCACAGGAAGTACATCGCTGATCCAAGAAAGGTCAAGCTGTTCGGGGTGAGTGAGACAACAGGGTCCTGTCGGGGGTGTCTATCTGGCAGAAGGGGTGTCTATCTGGCAGAAGGGGTGTCTATCTGGCAGAAGGGGTGTCTATCTGGCAGAAGGGGTGTCTATCTGGCAGAAGGGGTGTCTATCTGGCAGAAGGGGTGTCTATCTGGCAGAAGGGGTGTCTATCTGGCAGAAGGGGTGTCTATCTGGCAGAAGGGGTGTCTATCTGGCAGAAGGGGTGTCTATCTGGCAGAAGGGGTGTCTATCTGGCAGAAGGGGTGTCTATCTGGCAGGGAGGTGTGGGGGGTGTGTATTTACGAGGGAGGCAGGTGGGAGGTGGAGAGGATGATATTCCGCCAGGCCGACGTGCACTGTGTGGCGCCCAAGCGCTACGAGTCGAGAAACCTGTGCCTGGGCTTCGATGGGCATCGGAAATACATTGTGGATTTAAGAAGGGTCAAGCTGTTTGGGGTGAGTCAACAGGGGTTGCTTTGGGGCTCTCTGGGAGGGAGGCGGCTGAGGACAGGTGATTATTTCGCCAGGCCGACGTGCACTGTGTGGCGCTCAAATGCTACGAACCCGAGACCTGTGCCTGGATTTCGATGGGCATCGCAAGTACGTGGGGCTGACCCGAGAAAGGTCAAGCTGTTTGGGATGAGTGGGTCGACTGGGGTGGTGTTTGGGGTGCTATATGCGCTTGTTCTTGGGGCTTGATGCGTATCGGAAGTACGTTGCTGACCCCAGGGAAAAGATTGCCACGCATAGGACTACATGCATTCAACGCCATCTCAACTCAAACCTCTCTCCTTGCTTCTTCTCACCTTCCACATCACCACACTGCCTCCAGATTCATGCAGTGGCCAAAACGTGGCCTCTACCAACCCCAGCTGCAAGCCTACCTGTTCTATTGACCTCCAATGCAACCACCAGCAGCAGCAGCAGCGCTACCACTGCAAACACCACCACCGGTAGCATCAACAATTCCACCACCACTACCACCGCCACCACCAGCAACACCGGTAGCATCAACAATTCCATCCCTGCCGGCAATCCCACTCCCGCTGCGCCTCTCCCTCCTGCGCGCATGCCCGGGGTGGACATGCATGTGAGGGACGTGCATTTGAATCACTACAGGGCGCTCAACACAAGAGCTATCCGTTCGTGCACCCAGTTTATCCACGACACTGACTGGACCCCCGTGTCGTGGGCTAGAGACTTCTCACTTTCCCACGCTGCTGTGGCTGTGAGAAAATCCTCCCCTCCCTTACCTCCCGTGTACATGTAATCACCACCACAAGCAGCACCAGCAGCAGCACCACCACCCCCATCCGCTGGGGGGGGCATATTGCACCCAGTTCATGCACAACACTGACTGGACTCCCTGTTGTGGACCCAAGACTTCTAGCTTTCCCATCCTGCTGTGGCTATAAGGAAACGATCCCCCCCTCTGCCTCCTGTGTACATGTCGACTGCAGTAATATCCTCTGCCGTCCCTACAGCCGATACCCCCTCCGTCTCAACACTACAGGGACGTACAGCTGAACCACCACAATATAAAAGAATAGCCTGTAATATTATTATTTTTTGTACAGGTTCTAGCTTTGCTGTGCGTCTACATTACAGTATGTCGTACCGCACCCTCGGATGGTAACAACTGTGCATACTTTCATCGCTCGTGTAGCGTCGAATTGAAGACGGATGTCTTGTTGGAGGTACGGTAAATCCTTGTCAACAGAAGTTCCATTTGTAAGGGACCCTATCTGAGTCACGTGCATCAGGGGGTGTCTACAATTATTGCACATTTTGAAGTTGCGACAGCTTTGGAGCACTCATTTTGAGAAGCCGATTTGTGTGGGTCTATACAGTGGTTTGATATGGAAATTTGGCTATATTGAGAAAGCTTGCCTTATGTTCTTGCAAAGGCAACGGGCTTCATTACAATTGCAGTAATACAACATTCTCGTCCAACTATTATGATATACAATATACGACTAGGGTGGGTGGGTGGGGAGTGGAACTGCAAAGTTCCGAAATGAAGTCGTGGGTGGAGGCCGAATGGCCTCCAACCCTCGTTATATACTCGGCGAGTTGTAATTCGCCGTTGCTTTGCTTCGTTACAGGTAGCTGCGCTTTCACAATACGCATTTTTAGAAAGTGTTACACACTTTCGAAAAATTTCATATTGAGAAAGCTTGCTTTCTGTTCTTGCAAAGGCAACGGGCTTCATTACAATTGGGTCTTCTGAGACATGTGCGGTTGGGGCGTTGTAGACGCGGTGGGTGTGGTTGCGGTTGATGGTCGTCACGAAGTGACAAGAGAGGCGGTGTTGGCGATCGCGATTTCCAAGTCGATGACGTTTGGAATGCTGTGTGTGTGAAGGTTGCTCGATGGGTTGATGTGGATGTCTCTGTTTGTTGGTGCAAGAGGATACCGTAGTGGTACACAAATTTTGTCTTTAACTCCCAAAGGTCTATCCAAGTTCTTAACGAGTGGCGAGCTTGTGATTGCATGCAAGTCGTTTCACACGAATGGTTGTATTTCCTTGTTGGGTGCGATCAAACACAGTGGGATGTGTGCATGATGGCGAACACCGATCTCCTGCAGCATTGCTCTTATTTGGGGAAAACATTGAGTGCGGTGTATACCGGTAAGAGTGTGTGTGCACCACCGTAGTCAAGACAGATTCAGAATTCATATTGAGTTGCACTCTACCAACTGTTTGTAACAATATCACTTAAAAGCAGTTGCTTCCTTGGAAGTTGGTGGGGCTCCAAACCAGCCTTTTTTTTTTTTTTTTTTTTAATAATTATTACCGTATACGATACATCAATAGCCAAGAATGATCCATCCATCCACTCAAATTTCAGCCCATCTTACGGTAAGGCCAGCATGGAGGCCTCCGGGTCCCTTCCCCCACTGGGACGGCTTTAAAGCCACACGAGGACCCTCGGTCCCCTTCCTCCCCTGGGGGACGGCTCTCAGGCCACACGAGGACCCTCGGTCCCCTTCCCCCCCTGGGGGACGGCTCTCAGGCCACACGGGGACCCTCGGTCCCCTTCCCCCCCTGGGGGACGGCTCTCAGGCCACACGGGGACCCTCGGTCCCCTTCCCCCCCTGGGGGACGGCTCTCAGGCAGGCCTCTTGATATAAGGGTGAATCACCCTTATGACCCTTACTATAAGGGTGTGTTCTGATTCGGACCCTTACTTTACAAAGTGGATTTTTTTCTGACACTTACAGGAAAAAGTGAATATGTTTAGGACCCTGATATTTCAGAGTGAATTGGTGCAGTCGCACTTATCGGGAACATACATCCTCCTCAAAAAGTAAAGTAGCTCGAAGAAACCGAGTCATATGGACAACTTTGCCCACCAAATGCCTCCCACAAGTATCGATATCGCATCCCATTCACTAAAAGACCCATTGTGCTAAGTCGTCACGCCTAAAATCTACTAGTTATTTTACATGAAAAGTTATAGTTTGGTGCCTTACAAAAAAGAGTGATGCTTGCCTGGTACCCTTACAGAAAGAGTGAAAGCAGCTGGTTACCCTTATGAGAAAGACTGGTTCAAATCCTATCCAGAGGCCTGCTCTCAGGCCACACGGGGACCCTCGGTCCCCTTCCCCCCCTGGAGGACGGCTCTCAGGCCACACGGGGACCCTCGGTCCCCTTCCCCCCCTGGGGGACGGCTCTCAGGCCACACGGGGACCCTTGGTCCCCTTCCCTCCCTGGGGGACGGCTCTCAGGCCACACGGGGACCCTCGGTCCCCTTCCCCCCCTGGGGGACGGCTCTCAGGCCACACGGGGACCCTCGATTTCATCTTTCCGTTCAAGGGCCTCCTTAGGTGTGCGTGTAGTTGATCGTGTCGTCGGTGCGATTTCCCAGCGCGACGAGCAGGGTCCCACTTCTTATGAACTTATTTCCCCAATCGTGGCGTTGAGCTCGTGTTTCTGCCATGAAGGGATTCACGGGGCGTAGAGATTAATCGAGAGAAAACGCAGGTGACATGTTGAAAAACAATAATAATAAAAAAAAGGAAATGAAATGCACTTGCAGCACTTATATGCAACTTATATGCACTGGCGCCAGTGGCGATTTCGTCCTTGGCGCGCGCCACTGGCGCCAGTGGCGATTTCGTCCTTGGCGCGCGCCACTGGCGCCAGTGGCGTTTTCGTCCTTGGCGCGCGCCACTGGCGCCAGTGGCGATTTCGTCCTTGGCGCGCGCCACTGGCGCCAGTGGCGATTTCGTCCTTGGCGCGCGCCACTGGCGCCAGTGGCGATTTCGTCCTTGGCGCGCGCCAATGGCGCCAGTGGCGATTTCGTCCTTGGCGCGCGCCACTGGCGCCAGTGGCGATTTCGTTGCTGGCACGTGCCACTTGCGCGAGTGGCAGAAGCAATTTCGTCCTTGGCGCGCCAGTTGCAGTTTCTCCGGCGCACTTCGATCTCAGTTAGGCGCACGCAAAGTACAGTCGCAGGCGTGATTATGTCGCCCTTCTAGGTGCACATGCAAGGGAGTCGGGCATGTGGCAGTTGGTTGATGTTTCCTAGTACTAAAGCACTACTAGTGGGAGGGGAACTTCAGTGGTGGTTGGACGAGAATGAGTGGAACTGCAAAGTTCCGAAATGAAGTCGTGGGTGGAGGCCGAATGGCCTCCAACCCTCGTTATATACTCGGCGAATTGTAATTCGCCGTTGCTTTGCTTCGTTACAGGTAGCTGCGCTTTCACAATACGCATTTTAGAAAGTGTTACACACTTTCGAAAAATTTCATATTTAGTGTTCTCCTTGATAAGATATATAATTTATAAGTTTCCCGTTTATACGGTACCCGAAACGTCCAATGAGATCCATCCACTCTGTTCCTGGAGTCAAGACCCGCTATGTGCAGGACATGAGCCACCGTTGGGAATACATCTTCAGCCATGCAACCGCTGCTCAAACCAATCCAGTACGGCATGCACGAGCTTCGCTGCAAGGCCCTCCCTCAGTGAGGCATAGGGACTTCCTGCTGTTAGCATGCGGATTTGGCTCCATAATTACCCGTTTGCGGGCGGAATCACGTCGAAATTATTTGGTGTACAACATATTCGCCTAAGTAACACTCTGTAGACGCGACTAGATTAATGTACGGCGAGAATGGTGTCCCGAACCGTGTGATTGTAGTAAGGAGGGGAGATACCTACACTACGGTAATCGTCAGCCAAGAGGGGAGTGCGCCCGAACAGCTTCGCAGTGTTCTTGGGATCGTCGGGCGATATGAACTTGCGGCGTGATCGCCCTTATGAACCCCCTCAAGTTTCCTACCCACATCACACCACGGGACATGGCCGAAATGTCGTCGCCTTTTCAGGCACATCGAAAATTGCTTCATCACACGAGTCATGCTCACAAGACAGGTTGCGATTTTTTTGTTCGTGACCTTGCCGAAACGAGTCGTTCACGCGGCCGCGGCCCGCGTCCCCGCAAACCATCCATTGTCGCGAGAGCATCTCTCTCCTCTCCAGTATCGTTCTGCTCACTGTCTCCGCTGTCTCGGAGTCGCCGCGCTCTCTCCCTCCTCTCCTCTCCACCCGCCAGAACTCACCAATCTGAGGCTCAATGACGGGGTGTAATTCGTACGTCTCGTGTACGTTCTTTGCGGTCTAATTCGTTGCGTCACAGTGCAAAACCGTGAAGCTCAGCCACGAATGATGAGCTGTAAACGTACGACCTGCCCACAGCCGCTACGCTTGTACTTCTTTTATGAGGCGACTTTTGAGTCGACTCAAACGTCTCCTCTCCTCGCATGACACACCCAGGAGGATCAATGAGCGAGCACGTTTGCTCTGGACGGCAGAGCCTCCACCATTCACGTTTCCGTGTCGTTCCAGCAAGTTATTGATTATCTCGCTGCTGTTCGTTGTGACGCTCTAGCGGTTCTACTACCAGCAGTACCCGTGCTCCTGTTTTTGAGGCTCCTAGTGCTACAACTAGTGGTAGTTGCTGCTGCTGCTGCTGCTGTTTCCATGGCAATCTCAGCCTGGCGCGCCGTCGCACCACCGCCGCTGATGCGCGGCGTGGCTCTTCCCGCGTGGCTCAAGCGGCGCGTGACCTTCTACCGGCTGCACATGCTGTGCTTCGTTATAGTCATCCTCGCTTTCACGCTCGTCTTCTGCGTGGCGCCGAGCGGGCCAGCAGGGAAAATCAGCTTCATAGACGCGCTCTTCAACGTGACGTCGTGTGTGTGCCTGGCGGGACTCATTACTGTTGATGTGGGGGTCTTTACTGACGGCACCAACGTTGCTCGCCTTCTCCTCATGTTCATGGGCTCCCAGGTGCGTGGTTAGAAAGAAACAATGACGTGGTGGTAACCAGTAATCGCATGGTGAATGAAACCCTCATTGGTACATGCTCTCAATCAGGCCCCACGCCATGCCACACGCCATGCCATGCCATGCCACGCCATGCCACACGCCATGCCATGCCATGCCATGCCACGCCATGCCACACGCCATGCCATGCCATGCCATGCCACGCCATGCCACACGCCATGCCATGCCATGCCACGCCATGCCATGCTGACAGGTGCTGACAGCCCTGGTGCCTGTCCTGCTGCGCCACATTGGAGTCATTTCTTACGATTCTAAAAATTGATTAAAAAAATGGCTCCCATCTCTCTCTGTGTGTGCCAGGTGGTGACGTCCCTGGTGCCGGTCTTGGTGCGCCGTTACTACTTCCACCGCCATCTCGCCCACGCCAGCCTGCCATAAATCGAGTTTGGGGACGTCTCAAAGCTTGACTGCCATCTCTTTCTCTCTCTCTGTGGCTTGCCAGGTGGTGACGTCCCTGGTGCCTGTCTTGGTGCGTCGGTACTACTTCCACCGCCATCTCGCCTGCTCTGGCCTGCTCCAGACCCAGCCCTCCGCCTCCAACTACGGCCCCAAAGCCTCTGACACTGCAGCCTCCGCCTCTCAGGAAGCGCAGCATGGTGCAGGGGGCGAAGGAGGAGGAGGAGGAGGAGGAGGAGGAGGAGGAGGAGGAGGAGGAGAAGGAGGAGATGGAGGAGGAGAAAACATATCAGGGAACAACGGAGCCTGGTCTGTAAGTCTGCCCCCTGCAGCTCCAGCTGCTGCGAGTCCCAAGAGCGTCTGCAGCAGCGGCAAGGGCAGCAGGGGTAGCAGGGGCAGCAGTGACAGTGGCAGCAGCAAGGGAAGGCAGGGAGGCAGTGGAGGAGGCGGGTTGAGAGTGCTGGGGCAGCTGCAGGGGAGTAGAGTGCATGCTGGGGGGGAAGAGGGGGGAGGAGATGGTTTTGCTGACGTTGAAACAGGCCCAGCATATCCTATCGCCAGTGACCCCACTGCATACCCTTCTGCTGCTGCTGCTGCTGCGGCTGCTGCTGCGGCTGCTGCTGCTAGCTTAAGCGGAGGAGGAGGAAGTACCTCATCTGCCTGCATTCCCCCTCTTGTCTCTTCCTCGCCCGCCCCCTCCCATGAGATACCTGCTGCCACTGCAGGCACTGTCGCTCCAGCAGGCGAGTCCCATGTGGCCTCTGTGGCTGCAGCTTCTGGTGCAGCAGCAGCGGCAGGAACAGCTACAGCAGCAAATGCAGCAGATGCAGCAACAGCAGCAGCAGGTGCAACAACAGCAGCAATAGCAGCAGCAGCGCCTGTGGTCCGAAGGCCCTTAGGCCTGACAACTTTTGAGGCGCCTCAAGAATCAGCAGCTCCCACGGGCCGAAGGCCCTTAGGCCTGACAACTCTCCTGGAGAAACTCCTGGAGGAGGCAAGAGAAGGGCGGCAACCCTTGACTCCAGGTGATGGTGAGGGCGAAGGGCGTGGCGCCAGACTGGGGACGGATGTGGAGGAGGGATGGGTGACACGTGGTGGGTTGCGCCGGCGGGGTGGAGGCAGAGGGGCGGAGGCAGAGGGGGCTGTGGGGATGAGCTCGATGACTTGGGCCGGGGAAACGGCTAGGATTGAAGGGCAGCGCCTCCAATTGGCGCTTGAGGCGCTTAGAGCACAGCAGCAGCAGCAGCCGCAGGAGGAGGAGCAGGAGGCGGCAGCTACAAGGCGCTCCTCCCTTGACCTGTTCACCTCAAGGCTAACTCGTGCTGCATCTCTCAACCAATCCGCGTTAAGAGCACACTCCCTACCACACGCCCCCGCATTCTTGCCATTCCTGGGGGGTCTGGAGCACAGGGCAAGGCAGAGGAGGAGCGGGAGGTTGAGCCGTGAAAGCAGTGTGACCGGCACAAGCCTTGGGGGGGATCTGGATTTCGCTGATGCTGATGGTTACGGGTTTGCTGATGGTTACGCGGATGCAATGGTGGATGAATGGCTGACGGCAGCACAGCCAAGTGAACTCAGATTCCTCGAGCTCAGGTGAGCCCTTTCTCCCGTCCTTGTGGCTCAGGTGAGCCCTCCCTCCCCTCCTTGTGGCTCAGGTGGGCCCTCCTCATAGCTCACTTTCCTGCACCACTGTTCTGCCCTGCTGCTGTTCTCTGATGGACCTCTTTCGAAAAATCTCATTTTTGAAATGATTTTCTTGTGCATTGCATGTGCCATGTGCGACATGCCATGTGCAATTTGCAATGTGCCATGTGCCATCTCTGCCACGTGCCATGTGCCACGTGCCATGTGCCACGTTCCATGCTATGTGCCCTCTCTCTGTGCCATCTGCTCTGCAATGCCCCCCTTTCGATGTGGAACCTGCACTTGCACATTGCCCATGCATGCACATGTACTTGCACATGTACTTCACATGTACTTGCACATGCACATGCACATACACTTGCACATCCCCATCCCCATTTCCATCCTCATCCCCATCCCCATCTCCATTCCCATCCCCATCCGCATCCCATCCCCTTCCCCCTATCCCCACCCTATCCCATCCCCATCCCCATCCCCACCCCCATCCCCATCCCCATCCCCATCCCCATCCCCATCCCCATCCCCATCCCCATCCCATCCCCCTATCCCTATCCCATCCCAATCCTCATCCCAATCCCCATCCCCATGCCAATCCCCATCCCAATCCCAATCCCCATCCCCATCCCAATCCCCATCCCCATCCCCATCCCCATCCCAATCCCCATCCCCATCCCCATCGCCATCCCCATCCCCATCCCCATCCCCATCCCCATCCCCACCCCCATCCCCATCCCCATCCCCATCCCCATCCCCATCCCCATCCCCATCCCCATCCCCATCCCCATCCCCCTATCCCTATCCCATCCCAATCCTCATCCCAATCCCCATCCCCATGCCAATCCCCATCCCAATCCCAATCCCCATCCCCATCCCAATCCCCATCCCCATCCCCATCCCAATCCCCATCCCCATCCCCATCGCCATCCCCATCCCCATCCCCATCGCCATCCCCATCCCCATCCCCATCCCCATCCCCATCCCCATCCCCATCCCCATCCCCATCCCCATCCCCATCCCCATCCCCATCCCCATCCCCATCCCCATCCCCATCCCATCCCACCGTCCCTATCCCTATCAAGGGCACTGGAGACGTTAAGCTGGCTGGTGCCAGCATTCCTCGCCGCATCGTATTTTGAGGCGTATTTTGAGGCGCCTCAAAATGCATCCCCATCCCCATCCCCATCCCCATCCCCATCCCACCGTCCCTATCCCTATCAAGGGCACTGGAGTCGTTAAGCTGGCTGGTGCCAGCATTCCTCGCCGCATCATATTTTGAGGCGTATTTTGAGGCGCCTCAAAATGCATCCCCATCCCCATCCCCATCCCACCGTCCCTATCCCTATCAAGGGCACTGGAGACGTTAAGCTGGCTGGTGCCAGCATTCCTCGCCGCATCGCTGCTCACTGCCTTCCTCCTGCTGCTGCTCATCGTTAGCCTCTCTGCCTCCGCCAAGGCAAATCTGCAGGCCAACAGCGTCAACAGCGTCTTCTTCTGTGCCTTCCATGTCAGTCAGCTGCCCTTCTTGCCAGTCAGCTGCCCTTCTTGCCAGTCAGCTGCCCTTCTTGCCAGTCAGCTGCCCTTCTTGCCAGTCAGCTGCCCTTCTTGCCAGTCAGCTGCCCTTCTTGCCAGTCAGCTGCCCTTCTTGCCAGTCAGCTGCCCTTCTTGCCAGTCAGGCGCCTTCCATCCCAGTCATTCACCTTCCATCCCAGGCAGCCGATTTCCATGTCACTCACTCAACTTTCATGTCATCCCCCCTCCATCTACCCTCACTTGTCCCTCCCTCGGCCCCCATGCTTCCTCCCTCCCCCCCACACAGGCGATTTCAACGTTTTCCAACACAGGGGCAGAACTGCTGAACGATAACCTAATTTTGGGCGCCTCAAAAATAGACCCCTCGGCCCCCATGCTTCCCTCCTCCTTCCCGCACAGGCTATGTCGACGTTTTCCAACACAGGGGCGGCACTGCTGAACGATAATCTAATGGGGTTCGTGAGGGTGCCAGCTCTGATCATCGTCACGTCGGTCTTCATTCTCATTGGCAATACCATGTACCCGCCCACGCTGCGAGCCCTCCTGCTTCTGCTCCGGCACTTCTCACGAGGAGAGAAAAGGGTAAGGTCTGCACCGCACTGCACCCTCTTGAATTTGATCACTCTAAGAGGGAACTTCTGCACCGCACCACACCGGTCTCGTAGATGGCTAATGACTGCACCCTTACCCGTCTTTCCCTTCACATGGTTGCCGTTTTCGCACTAGGTCCCCCACCGCTCTCCAGTCACCTCTCTTCTTGTTCCTGGCTCCCTCCCTCCCTGTGTTGCACTGCACGCACACTTGGCAATCCTTTTTTCTACTGTACCATCCTGCAGGTTGTTTTTGAGGCTGCACATCAATTCTAAAAAACAACCTCCTTTTTTCTTCTTCTACTGTACCATCCTGCAGTGTGATCCCTCAGAACATCTACTCACACTCTCCTGCATTTGCACACACACTGCGTGCACCCCTGTTGAGGTCATGTGAAAACAGTCTCTTACACCGCAGGGTTCCTATTTTGAAAAATCTATCTGCTACCCCCACACCTACATTGTTGACCCCTTCAGTTTGTCCACACCTACCTACCGCATCTCATCTTACAGGCGCACAAATGCCATTAGCACCTCTTCTGAGGTGACTCAAAAGCAGACTCATTGCAGTCGGCGTTTCTTACATTGAGAAGTGTCTGCAACCCTCTCTCACCCTTTGCCCTGGCCGGCAGTTTGTCTACTCGTACCTTCTTTTGCGCCCGCGCAAGTGCTACACGCACCTCTCTTGAGGTGCTTCAAAAGCAGACTCATAAAACTGGGTTCTTCTTATACTGACAAGTGATTTTCGCCCCCCTCACCTCGTGCCCCTCAGTTCGTCTACTCCTACCTTCTCGTGCACCCACGCAAGTGCTACACGCACCTCTTCCCACCACGCTCCACCGTGATGCTCGTGCTAACAGTGCTCGCGTTCAATCTCACGGAGTTTGTCTTCTTCTGTGCCACTGACTGGACCTCGCCTGCCATTGACGGCTTCACCAGTGAGTTGCATGTGGACTGCGGGTATGCGAAAAAGACCAACAAACAAGGATTACGTATATATTCCTAGAGGATTTGTCTTCCTGAGGGAACTTTTGCGTCGACTCAAAAGTCACCTAAAGACCAACAAACAAGGATTACGTACGTATTTCCTGAGGATGTGTCTGGGAAGAGAGCAATTCTTCCTTTTGGTGGGGGCTTTGTCTGCCCAAAAAAAAAAACAAAAAAACAAAACAAAACCCCACACACAATGTTACTCCACATTCCCCCCACCTCGTGGTTGTGTGTGAGTGCATGCCAGGTGGATATTGGCTGAATATTTCCAATCTGTGAGCACACGCAATGCTTTTTGAGGCACCTCAAACACAGTTTCTCCACTCTTCTCCCTCTCTACCCTTTGTGTTTGTGTGTGTGCGCATGGCAGGCGGGACCAAGGTACTAGCAGGATATTTCCAATCTGTGAGCACACGCAACGCGGGATTCAACGTAATTGCCATCGGCCTCCTGCGCCCCCCCATGCTGCTGCTATACCTGGGCATGATGTGAGTGCATGGTGTGAGAGTGCAAGGGGCATGGTGTGAGAGTGCAAGGGGCATGGTGTGAGAGTGCAAGGGGCATGGTGTGAGAGTGCAAGGGGCATGGTGTGAGAGTGCAAGGGGCATGGTGTGAGAGTGCATGGGACATCACCCTCCCTTACATATCCCAGCCTCCCTTCCAAACTCTGCTCAGGTGTGTGGCCATGAATCCTTTGCACAAAAAAATATCATTACCAACTCTGGCTTCGCATGGAGTTTCTGAAAATTCTAAAAAAACACCCAGCCCCCATTCCATTTCATTCCATTCCAATCCAATCTCACAACCGCCCTCCTTTCCATCCCCACAACCGCCCACCCTTCCATTCCATTCCCTGCTGCTCTCTCGAACGTGAGCAGGTACGTGGCTGTGTATCCTCTGTACCTGACGAGGCAGACATCGAGGGAGCAGAGGGAGGTGTATGATGACGAGGATATTGGGGTGTTCTGGGAAGACCTGCAGGCAAGTTCTGTTCCAAGTCCCTGCGAATGAGTGAGAACTTGTGGGATGGGGAGGGGTGTGGGGGATGGGGAGGGGTGTGGGGGATGGGGAGGGGTGTGGGGGATGGGGAGGGGTGTAGGGGACGAGGCAGACGTCAAGGGAGCAGAGGGAGGTGTAAGACGATGAGGACATTGGGGTGTTCTGGGATGACCTGCAGGCAAGTTCTTGAGAAGCTTTTGAGTTGACCCAAAAGTCAAGGGAGCAGAGAGAGGTGTATGACGACGAGGACATTGGGGTGTTCTGGCAAGATCTGCAGGTGAGTTCACATTACATCCCTCTGATGCAACAGCAGTCAGTCCCTTCGCCCGGGAAACTGCCACTGCTAAAAAAATAAAAATTGGCGCTTAAGACGTCGAGGGAGCAAAGGGAGGTGTACGACGACGAGGACATTGGGATGTTCTGGGAAGACCTGCATTCAAGTTCTTGAGTGGCTTTTGAGTCGAGATGGTCATTAAAGTTTGTTGTGTGTGTGTGTGTGTGTGTATGTGTGTGTGTGTGTGTGTGTGCCTGTGTCTGTGTCTGTGTCTGCGTGTGTGTGTGTGTGTGGGTGTGTGTGTGTGTGTGTGGGTGGGTGGGTGTGTGTGTGTGTGTGTGTGTGTGTGTGTGTGTGTGTTTTCACTCTTGAGAAACAACTGGGCTTTTCCATCCTTCACCGCCCACCATCCATGCCACTCTCATCCCTCCTCGCTTGTCATTTCGTAACATGGCACATCACACGGCGTGACGCAAGTCATTCAGGGGGGTGTGCTGCTGGATCAGAAGTTATGTAAACAGATAGTGATTCAGCTGGCCTTATACATCACCTGCCCATGTGCCTTCCCTCGACAATCCATGTAGGGGGGGGTGTTGGACCACGGGGTGTTCACCCAGGGCAGAGGGCTGCTCCTGCGCGATTCAGCGATGCTCTTCATGGCTCTGCTGGTGATCTGCCTCATAGAGAGCGCCAACATCACCAACGACATCTCCAACTTCAACATCTTTAACATCGCCTTTGAGCTCATCAGGTGAGTGAGTGCGCCCAGTCCCCACATGCTTGTTCAAACCTTCATCAAGGGACAGCTTAGGCCCTCGATCGCTCTTAATGGCTCTGCTAGTGCTTGTGTGTGTGTGTGTGTGTGTGTGTGTGTGTGTGTGTGTGTGTGTGTGTGTGTGCGTGTGCGTGTGCGTGTGCGTGTGCGTGTGCGTGTGCGTGTGCGTGTGCGTGTGCGTGTGCGTGTGCGTGTGCGTGTGCGTGTGCGTGTGCGTGTGCGTGTGCGTGTGCGTGTGCGTGTGCGTGCGTACGTGCGTGCGTGCGTGCGTGCGTGGGTGCGTGGGTGTGTGTGTGTTATTTTTTTGTCGGTGCCTCAAAACCCGTCTTCTCAGGTGCTTCGCTTGAGAGGCGTCTCCATAGTGGATTTGGCAAATTTAACCTCTTCTAATTTTGACATGCCTTAGTAATGTGCTTCGCCTGGCCACAGCTGCTTTCTGGTGACTCTGTCCGAACATCTCTCAACATACCCATCCTTGCACGTGTTCTTTCCTGGCAGTGGATACGGCAATGTGGGTCTCTCCCTGGGCTACACCTGTCCACCTGAAGCTGGCCCCAGCTGTGTCTCCCCTCCTTACAGCTTCTCTGGTGCGTCCTATCATATAAATTCCCCAAGTGCCTTCTCGGGTGCGTCATATCGTAGAATTTCCCAAAGTGCCTTCTCTGGAATTCCTGGTCCAAGGTGGTTCGTATTTTAGAATTCTCAAAAGCACCCCGCAGGCGCGGGGGAAATTCCTGGAACTAGGAGGTCCAGGCGATATTTTCAATAGGCTCCTGAAAACCATATTATGCCTCTCTCTCTTCTTCCCTCGAATCCCTCTGATTTCTACCCACAGGCGTGTGGGGCCCTTGGTCGAAGCTGGTGCTCGTGCTCATGATGCGGCTCGGAGTTTTTCTCTTAGATGACTCGGAACAAAGTCATGTTTCTCTCTCCTTTCCACGTACCCCTTTTGCTCCCCACAGGCGTGTGGAGCCCTTGGTCCAAGCTGGTGCTCGTGCTCGTGATGCTGCTGGGTGTTTTTTCTTCTGGTTGCACGTCAGTAATAGGTCATGTTTCCCTCTCTCCTTTCCCCGTACCCATTTTCTCCCCACCTTGCAGGTGTGTGGAGCCCTTGGTCCAAGCTGGTTCTCGTGCTGGTAATGCTGCTGGGCCGCCACAGAGGCCTGCCTGACAACATCGACGCTGCCATCTCCCTCCCCAACCGCAACCAGTTCATTCCTGAACCACCTGCACTGCCTGCCCCACCTTCTGCATCTGCTGTATCTGCCGTCCCTGTTGTCGCACCTTGCATGCGTTCCACGTGTGCACCAAGGTGACTGAAGAGTCGACTCACGAGTCGCTGCCATCCCCATCCCAGGCCTGCACCAGTTCCTCCCTCCCCCGGCCGTACCACCCTCGGCCGCACGTCCCCCTCCCACCCAGGTTGCTCCTCCCTGCCGCTCCTCCCCTAGTCGCCCCTCCCCTAGTCGCCCCTCCCCTAGTCGCCCCTCCCCTAGTCGCCCCTCCCCTAGTCGCCCCTCCCCTAGTCGCCCCTCCCCTAGTCGCCCCTCCCCTAGTCGCCCCTCCCCTAGTCGCCCCTCCCCTAGTCGCCCCTCCCCTAGTCGCCCCTCCCCTAGTCGCCCCTCCCCTAGTCGCCCCTCCCCTAGTCGCCCCTCCCCTAGTCGCCCCTCCCCTAGTCGCCCCTCCCCTAGTCGCCCCTCCTCTAGTCGCCCCTCCCCTAGTCGCCCCTCCCCTAGTCGCCCCTCCCCTAGTCGCCCCTCCCCTAGTCACTCCTCCCCTAGTCGCCCCTCCCCTAGTCACTCCTCCCCTAGTCGCCCCTCCCCCGGTCGCTCCCCTCCCCCACCGCTACTCACCTCAGCCTCCCCCCCCTTCCCTCCCCCTCTCCCCCGCTCCACCAACCACTCCACCTTCCACATCTGCTGCATCTGCTCTGCGACCACGTGCTACCAACCAACGAAACGGTGTCTTGCTTCTGGAGGTGGAGAACGGACATAGAAAGTTCCTGCTTTGTTGCTCCAATCGCTTCACTCAGACTTGGGTTCTCCGACTGTCATGCTCCGAGGCGCTGCTTCTTTATCTTCAGTTTCCAATTTCCAATCTACATAATCGAACTAGCTGACTGCTGATTACTTTGGTTAGTCGCTGCTAGTAATCCAAATGCAAATACAGTATCAACACGTCTCACATATGATCGTACAATGCATGCAGAAAGAACCTCTAGTCCATCCGAGGGTGTGAACCGCTGTGCTTTGAGCTGACTCAAAATGTATCCATTGGTCATGTAGCACATGCGCCACCTCTAGTTTCCCAGTCAATGGTTTATCATCGCGGCGCCACCCACTCGCCCTCACCACCTCACACAGCCCGTCAAACCTCTCCCCCCCCCCCCCCCCCCTCTCCGCCCCTCCTTGCCATGCGCTCATGAGGCATGCGCCCTCCCATCCCTCCCTCACTTCCTCTTATTCACTGATTCCAGCAGCAGTCGCCAGTCTCCCGGCCGCGCCAGCAAGCCATCGTCACAGCGCCACCCGTTCGCTCTCAGCGCCTCACACAACCCATCAAACCCTCCCGCCATGCGGCCAAAGGAAGCATGCAGCATCTCTAGCTTCTCGAAAGAGGCTAACTCGGCTGCAGTTGCACTTGCACCCCTCATTTCCTCTTCTCCTCAGGTGCCAGCTGCAGCCACCAATCGCCCACCGGCCGGGCCACCATACGAAGAATGCAATACCTCTATCTGATTTCCCCAAGAATGCAAAGGCTGCTGCACTTGCACCCCTCACTTCCTCTTCTCCTCAGGTGCCAGCAGCAGCCACCAATCGCCTCCCTCATTTCGAAGTATTACCGTATAGCTTGGAAGATGGTTGACTGAGGCAGTTCAGAGGCGAGAGGTTTGTCCTCTTGTGGATTTTCAGCTTTTTCGTCCAATAGAATTCAAGTTAATCACATGCCATTTTTGTCCCCCTAATGTTCCTAAGAAGTTGCACCCTGCCTTTAAAGGCACAAGTGAGGGATTTTTGGGAGCTGGGGGTGCAATTTTCAGGTGGGGCAGTGCAAGTGAATCCAGCAGAGGCGAATTCGGCTTCACTTGCACCCCTCATTTCCTCTTCTCCTCAGGTGCCAGCAGCAGTCGCCAGTCTCCTGGCCGAGCCAACAAGCCATCGTCACAGCGCCACCCATTCGCTCTCAGCGCCTCACACAACCCATCAAACCCCGCAGCCATGCGGTCATACGAAGCATGCAGCACCTCTAGCTTCCCCAAGGAAGCGAATTCGGCTGCGCGGGCTTGGACGTGGGTGCGCGCTTGGGGTGCGAGAGAGTGGATGGTGGGGCAGAGGACGTGTGGAGAGAGGGTGCGGAGGTAGGCGGCTTGCAGGGCCGCTCTGAGGAAATCCCTTGGGAGTGCCCCCTCCTTCAACACTACCTGCATGGATGGTGGTTGCAGGGTGAGAAGGCATGGGGATGAGAGGAGAAGGAATAGATGTGAGGGGAAGAGGAGAGCATGCAGCACCTTGATCTGCTTCCCCAAGGAGGAAAACTCGGCGGCGCGGGCTTGGACGTGGGTGCGCGCTTGGGGGGCGAGGGAATGAATGGTGGGGCAGAGGACGTGTGGAGATAGAGTGCGGAGGTAGGCGGCTTGCAGGGCCGCTCTGAGGAAGTCCCGAGGGAGTGCTCCTTCCTTCAACACTACCTGTATGGATGGTGGGTAGAAAGAGTGGATGGTGGGGCAGAGGACGTGTGGAGAGAGCGTGCGGAGGTAGGCGGCTTGTAGGGCCGCTCAGAGGAAGTCCTTTGGGAGGGCCCCCTCCTTCAACACTACGTGCAAGAAGAATGGTGAGTGGTTGATAGGGGTGAGAAGGCAAGAGGTGTGGAGAGAGAGTGCGGAGGTAGGCGCCTTGCAGGGCCGCTCGTAAGAAATCCCAAGGAAGAGCTCCTTCTTTCAACACAACCTGCATGGTGAGTGCGTGGGGTGAGGAGGAATGGCGGTGTAACGAGGAGATCATTTAGTGGCAGGTGGATTGGAGGGCAGCCCGGAGGAAATTCCGAGGGAAAGCTCCTTCTTTCAACACAACCTGCATGGTGAGTGCGTGGGGTGAGGAGGCATGGCGGTGTAACGAGGAGATCATTTAGTGGCAGGTGGATTGGAGGGCAGCCCGGAGGAAATCCCAAGGGAAAGCTCCTTCTTTCAACACAACCTGCATGGTGAGTGCGTGGGGTGAGGAGGCATGGCGATGGAACGAGGAGATCAATCTAGCGGCAGGCAGGTGGATTGGAGGGCAGCCCGGAGGAAGTCCCGAGGGAGAGCTCCTTCTTTCAACAGAACCTGGATGGTGGGTGACAGATAGGGGTGGGTGGGAAAGCAAGAGGTGAGAATCTAGATGCAGACAGCTTGCAGTGGGCAGAAAGAGTGGATGGTGGGGCAGAGGGGGTGTGGGGCGAGCGTGCAGAGGTAGGCGGCTTGTAAGGCCGTTGTCACTCATGGTTGGAAGGGCAGCAGCACTAAGAGAAAGTGAGGCGCCTCAAAAAAAGTGGGGCAAGCGTGCAGAGGTAGGCGGCTTGTAAGGCCGCTCGGAGGAAGTCCCGAGGTAGAGCCTCCTCTTTCAACACAGCCTGGTGAGTGACAGGGGTGAGAATGCATGGAGGTAAGAGGAGAAGGAATGGATGTGAGAGGAAGAGGAGAGGTAGTCTGCTTGGAGCGCCGCACAGAGGAAGTCCCGAAGTAGATCCCTCTTCTAGCTCAACTTGCATGGTGCTCTTTCAAGAGAGGGATCTCTTTCGAGACTTCCTCCGTGCGGCGGCGTGACACCCCTAACACAACCTGCATGGTGAGTGTCAGGGGTGGAAGGGACGGGATTGAGACGAGGAGGCACACATGCGGAGGTGGCCGGATTTGTAAGGCCGCCCGGAGGAGGTCCCTAGACAGATCCCTCTTTCAACACAACCTGCAGGCCCCCACACATTCCCGTTTCTCCCACCCACCCACGCACACAGATGCACACAGCATGAACCTGCATCTGCCCTGTACGCTCGTCCTGTCAAAGGAGGTACTTCTCTCCTCGGCATATCCCATCCCAGCCACCGCCTCTGCCTCCTCCCACTGCACATCACAGCACAGCACACCTGTGTGCCTCACTCCCATCTCAAAACACAAGCATGCGCAGCAGCACACGCACCTGCATCTGCCCCGTACGCTCGTCCCTCCCAAGCAGGTACTTCTCTCCTCGGAATATATCAGCCATGGTCTCAGCCTCCCGCTCTGTGTGCGCCACTGCGGCCAAGGGCACCCCAAATTCGATCCAGTTCTCACTCCCTGTGCCGGGAAGGGGTGGAGGAGACGCCTGGGAAAGGGGACGCGGAGAAGGGGCGGGGGAGGGGAACGGGTGGAGAGGGGGGAATGAGGGGGTTGAGAGGTCTCTTTTTGCGCCACTGCTGCCAAGGGCACTCCGAACTCGATCCAGTTCTCACTGCCTGTGCCTGGACGAGGAGGGGGAGAGGCCTGGAAAGGGGAGGAGGGGAGGGGGTTCGGGTGGAATGGGAGTAAGGGAGTGTTGAGACGTCTGTCTGTGTGAGCCACTGCTGCCTACTTGCCAAGGGCACTCCGAACTCAATCCAGTTCTCGCTACCTGTGCCGGGGAGAGGTGGAGGGGACGCCTGTGAAGAGAGAAAGGGGAGAAGGAGGGATGAGATCTCTCTGTGTGAGTGAGGCACTGCAGCTAAGTGGCACTTGTAACGCACATGCAATGCACATGCACCATACATACATGCACCACACATACATCACACATGCACCACACCAGAGATACCTTGGGCGAAAATATCGATTTGAGGGGCGGCAGAATGGGTTCCTGGGAGTTGACTTCGATGACACCTGGCACCCTGCCATTGGTCACGTACTCTGCCAGGACAATATCTGGGGAAAGAACAGTGGTAGAAGAGAGCACAGGGGAAGCAGAGAGGACAGCGCAGCGGAGCAAGCTACTTAGACAGAAACAGGTGAAGGAGGGAACTAATTGAGTTGTGCTTACAGCGACCGTCGTGCCTTACAGCTCAAAGACACGACGGTCGCTGCTCTGGCGAATGTTTTTGGGGCGCCTCAAACTTTTTGAGATGATTTTTTAGGCGCCTAAAAAACAATTGTGGTTACAGCTCAAAGACATGACATGACAATAGCTGCTCTGGAAGTAACTATCTGCTTCTGAATCCACTGGATTGAATGCTTGTGAGGCTTCCTGCAAGCAAGTACTTATTTTACCTGCTCTGAAGGGGTTGAGCGTCCTGAGTTGAACGGCCTTGTACGAGCGGTAGTTGCAAAACAGGTGGGCGGCGGACAGCAGGCCATGAGTTGCCCACAGTAGAGGGCCCCGGGTGCCCACGTGAGGAGCAACGACGATGCCTAGTGCCATCCCCAATGTCTTGCTCACCATGCCCTGTGCCTCTGCGCGTGCTAGCACCTGAGGGGAGAGGAAGAGGAGGAACAGTCAGAGAAAACACACAAATGGTTGGGTTCGGACAGCAGGGCGTGTGTTGCCCAGAGTAGAGGACCCCTCGTGCCCACGTGAGGAGCAATGGCGATACCCAGGGCCATGCCCAATGTCTTGCTCACCATGCCCTGTGCCTCTGCACGTGCTAGCACCTGTGGGGAGAGGAAGGGGAGGAGCAGAAAGTGAAGTACAATCACATGGGTGGGCCGGACAGCAGGGCATGCGTGGATCAGCCACAGCAGATGACCCCTGGTGCCTACGTGAGGAGCAATGGCGATGCCTAGAGCCATCCCCAATGTCTTGCTCACCATGCCTTGTGCCTCTGCCCGCGCCAAGACCTGGGGGGAGATGAAAAGGAGGAACAGTCAGAGAAAGCACACGAAAGGTTCGGTTCGGACAGCACGGCATGCGTCGCACACAGCAGAGGGCCCCGGGTGCCCACGTGTGGAGCGATGGCGATACCCAGGGCCATCCCCAATGTCTTGCTCACCATGCCCTGTGCCTCTGCACGTGCTAGCACCTGTGGGAGAGGAAGGCAGGGTGGAGTGGAAGGGAGAACACGGGGAGCGTAATGAGAGGAGCACAGCACCGGGCCTATTGTGCCCATGTGTGGGGCGATGGCGAGGCCTCATGCCATTCCAATTATCTTGCCCTGTCTTTGAGGCGCCTCAAAAGTAATGACGCCTACTGCCATCTCCAATGTCTTGCTCGATGCTCACCATGCCCTGTGCGGCTGTGCTTCTGCGCACACACACCAACACTCGGGGTGGTTGGGTTGGGGAAGAAGAAGGGGGATGAAAGGCTGACGAGTTAAGACATGTGACTCGTGAACCTGAAAACCATAAGAGCCGCTTACTTCCATTCCCAGCACACGCCTATAAAAGCACCGATATAAATGTTAGGCCTTTTTTGAAGGCTTTCTGCAATTTGAACCCATACAACCCCAGCCAGGATTATAGAAGGTAAGGAAGTCCAAGGAGGGAGCATATCCCCCCTCCTGGCCCCATTGGCTCCCGAGACAGCGTTGAATCTCACCTCGGCAAAGTTTCTTCTGCCTGCCAGCCCGGCGTAAAACCGGTTTCTCGTGGCACTCTGCACGAGGCTCGAGGCAGAGAACCCCGCCCCGGCAGCGGCGGCCAGCTGAACGAAGTACTGCGGGAAGGTGGCCGTGAGGAGCTCGAGGGAAGCGGAGAGATTCTCAACGAGGTCGGAGTGAGGGAATGTCCCTTCACAGGCCCTCTCACCTGCCCACATCGGCAATCTCACTTGCTCGCATCGGCCCTCTCACCTGCCCGACCTAAGGTGCTGCCTTACCTCGGCGAAATTTCTTCTGCCTGCCAGCCCGGCGTAAAACCGGTTTCTCGTGGCACTCTGCACGAGGCTGGAAGCAGAGAACCCTGCCCCGGCTGCAGCGGCCAGCTGGACGAAGTACTGCGGGAAGGTGGCTGTGAGGAGCTCGAGGGAGGCGGAGAGGTTCTCAACGAGGTCGGAGAGCAGGCGCGAGCGCTTGGGGGAGACGTCGAAATGGCGGCCGAACTGGGAGAGCGTGACTTTTGCAGCGTAGCCCAGCCCGTCTTTTAGGACCCAGTTGACCGCGGCTGCTGCTGGGATGGCGCCCTTGCCCAGCCCCACTGCGTACAGCATTGCCTGGAGAGGCGAGGAGGGAAGAGAAAGTGGGAAGAGAGGGAGGAGAGACGAATGGTTCCAGGTTGAACTGGGAGAGCGTGACTTTGGATTCTTTCAGCACCCAGTTGACCGCGGCTGCTGCTGGGATGGCGCCTTTTCCCAGCCCCACCGCGTACAGCATTGCCTGCAGGAGGGAGAGAGGGAAGAGAGGGAGGGAAGCGAGAGAGGGAAGAGAGAAAGGGAGGGAGAGAGGGAAGAGAGGGAGGGAAGCGAGAGAGGGAAGAGAGAAAGGAAGGGAGAGAGGGAAGAGAGGGAGGGAAGCGAGAGAGGGAAGAGAGAAAGAGAGAGAGAGAGAGGGAAGAGAGGGAGAGAGGGAAGAGAGGGAGGGAAGCGAGAGAGGGAAGAGAGAAAGGGAGGGAGAGAGGGAAGAGAGGGAGGGAAGCGAGAGAGGGAAGAGAGAGGGAAGAGAGGGAGGGAAGCGAGAGAGGGAAGAGAGAAAGGGAGGGAGAGAGGGAAGAGAGGGAGGGAAGCGAGAGAGGGAAGAGAGAAAGGGAGGGAGGGAGAGAGGGAAGAGAGGGGGGAAAGAGAGGGAGAGAGTGTGGTTGTGTGACGTGACTGTGACTGATCCCGTGTCCTACCAGGATAAAGAATGCAGTCGGGCTCCAGGGTGGGCGGCAAGGGCGGCAGCAGCTAGGAAGGAGGAGAAATACGCGCGACGGAACGCGTGGGTGGGCTTCCACGCCCTTGCAGTCGAGACATACGGCTGTCCTTCCCCGGGGGTGATGGCTTACCTGCGGCAGTGCGCGGAGCTAGCGGCCAAGCTGCGATACAACTCAGCACCTACCTCATACGAGGCAGCCAAGCTGCTGACGGAGTACCGCCAGCACTGGAGTGTCTGCCTCCAGGGAGCGCAGGCCAATGCCCTCCGCTCCAAGACCAACGAGGCCTTGGCAGCGGACGAGCTCGGCATGCAGGGCCCCATCGTCCCTCTTAGCGAGGGACAGCTGCACCAGCTGATTGAGCCCCCATTCGGCCAGTAGGGTCGGACAGAGGGGGCCGGGAGTGGGAAGGAGTAGGTGTGATAGGTAGAATTGTGGTCTGGTTGTTTGTCTTGCTTGTGTTTGCACCTTCCTTGTAACACCCACCGTGATTAATGCAAGGACCGTTCGAGGGGGAAGGGATGCAACATGTTGAACTGGGAGGGCGTGACCTCGGCTGCATAGCCCAGCCCGTCCTTTACCACGAAGGACCGTTTGAGAGAAGAGAGAGAAGAAAGGCTTCAGGTGAGGAAAAGGACGGAGAGAGGAGGGCAGGGGAGAGAAAGGTTCTTAGACATAGCAAACAGACCTCAATTGAAGGAGCCTGCGACATAGAAACGCGTCTCACCTGCGTTGTAAGCACGTGGTTCATTTCGCTCGCCACTGTTTGCCGCATGCGCCACACTGTGTACTCCATATAGTCAGGAGTCACACTATCGGGATAACCCTCTGGTAACATCCATCTCACCACCGCCGCTTTCACTCCCCTCACCACCCGCGCAACCATATCCCCCCCTCTGCTCCGCTCATCCTCCTCCCCCGCTAAAACCCTACCCCCTGCGGCCTTCCCATTGCCATTCCCCGTGCTTGTAACGATCCCCTTTACAACGCGTCCGTGTTCCTCCTCGTACGCGTTAGCAGCTTCCTCGCCTTCCAATTCAACTTCCACCCTTAGCTGGCCCTTCCCCCTATTGCTGCTTGCGCTGCTGCTGCTGCTACTGTCTCCGCCAATCAGGCGCCGCCACCTGTCACCGTGGAGCTCCCATATCACATCCTGGTCGGCCGCGGGCGCGCCGGTTGCAGGGGGAGGCGCAGGGCGGCGGAGAAGCGCGGATTCCGCGCGCGCTAGCGGGGAGACGAGCAGCGGAAGCATGATAAGCAGAAATGCGGAGAGTGATAATGCGCTCGGAAACGTGATTAGGCGGTTGTGGAATAGAGGAGAGAGGGCGTCGAGACGGGAGTTGGACCAATCAGAAAACAGCTTCAATAGGAACAAGTAACCATGTTCCTGCTGGTTACCACCTTGCCCTCCGCAACCTCCGTCGTTTCCATTATCCTCTCCTCCGCCTCCCCCTCCGCCTCCATCTCCCCCTCTTCCGCCGCCGCCCCCTCTCCCCCTTCCGTCATTACCCCCGCTTCCCCCCCGCCCGTCTCCGCTCCGCCATGCCAAGGCGTGCGCTTTGACCCGCGCGCCAGGAGCAGCGGATCGCGTTGCCTCCGCCAGTCGCAACTTCCCCGCAATTGACGGTCTTGCTGCTAGCCTTCCGTCTTGAGGCCCCGCAAAACCCGATGGTAACCTCGCGGTGACGACTCGAAATGGTCGACCAGCTGCTGGTCTTCTCCCTGTCCCCGCTATCGAGTCAATTTCGGCAGTTCGATACGCGCATTTGACAGGTGAGTACATTGTGCCGCTCCCGCGAATCGCCTTACCCTGAAAGGCGCCAAAGCGACGCGTTTCGTGCCCGTCATTCCCAAGGGCCGGAGCGCACGGCAGATGGCAGCACGATCGCATTGCAGCTGCCATTGCAGCACATTCAAACGGTAAAACACACACCCACCCACACACGCTCTCGCGTTACAGCAGCGCAGGCTTAGCAAATCGCGTCGCGTGTCTGGCCAATGGACGAGCAATTCACTGCTAGAAGTTCTACCCTACTCTTGCACACTGCAATGTGATGAATGGATATGATGTGACGTGGCAAAAAGTACATTTTGAGATCAAGCAGGAATGGCCCTTGTGCGGGTGAAAGGGTAAGCACGGAGAGCTCTGCGTTTGTATTGACTCGATTACAGGTACAGAAGAAACAAAGCACCACGTTTACTTTCTGTACTAACAGCTCTATGCAAAGACACAATATTTTAAAGAAGATGACAGAATCAACCACTTGGTCTCTGATGCAATGAAATTCCAGGGGTCTGAAAGGAAGCATTACAAAATGTAGTCTCATCTCATCTCAACTGCCTCCACCTGTCATTACTTTTAGCCCAGCCCACGCGATCCCCTGCCATGCCACATGATTTTTCCAACTGGTCTTGATTTGGTGCAACACAAAGACATTTGTTGGAAACAACTAACTTAAGCGCCTCTGTCGTGTTGAAACACCAAGACCCAAGCGAAGCAAAACACTATCGAAGCAAAACATTATCGAAGCACCAGCGAGTCAACCCTCAGAGGTTGAAACAACTGTCGGAGGCTACGCGAAAGTCAAAGGTCAGCGACCTTTGACCTGACAAGTACAGCGCGGCAGCAAGGACACACGACTAACTCGTTACAGAGCAGTTGCCCGAGTCGTCACTGTATCGAACCGCAACAGCAACAGTAAAGTAGTTATAACTGTGTCTTTTCATATTCCCTGTATTCATATATAATCTTGTATCTCTTTGCTTTAATCAATCAACTTTGCCCTCATATACTAGCGCAAGGTGGTTCACAACTCTTCATTAAACGCTTCCGCTACTACATCAGTTCTACCCAGAGTTCACCCGTGCAAAGATCCTAAGGGCTATTTTCTCAGCCCAACATGGTATGAGAGCTATCAGGGGGAATTCAACTATCAAGACACCTACAACATCAGAAAACATGACTACTCAGAAGGAAAGGAGTTCCTCTATTGGTTCTCCCGGCACTACTCCTACTCCACCTCCTGCCTCTGGCCTACAGACAGAGGAGGGTACGGCAACAAGACCCAGGGCAACATCCACCGAGACTCCCGCGAATCAACCTGCAGGCTTCGACCAGAGCATGATGGAGAAGTTTTTCTCCTTCATGTCCTTCTACGAGCAACACCAGCAATCGGCACCTGTGCAGTCACACAACAGCAACAACAACGACGACGTGACTCCAATGAGCCTTGATGGTTCATCCTACGCACGTGGAAATCAACAGCAGCAACCTACATTTGCTCCGTACGAGCCCCACCGCGGCTCCGTCAGTTTTATGCCACAACCGCAGCCTGCACCTGGACAAGAGAAGACACTGGACGCGCTACAAGTTCAGTCACAGTTCGCGCACGTTTTGAAGTTGCAGAAGTCAAGACCTTTCGACGGAAAGGACTTCTTTATCTGGTCATTCGAGTTCGAGCTGATGATGGAAGGCGCGCAAATCCTCGGCTTCTTCAACGGATCCCTGCCATACCCAACAAACGGCACACAGTACGAGAAGCAGCAGTACACCTATCAGTCAATGATGGCGTACACAATCCTACCGAGGAATATCACCCCGACTCGGCAACAGAATATACGGTCTTACCGGGGATACGGCAACTCCGCAGAACTCGCATACAGCCACTTGAAAAGCCTGTACCAAGCAACAGACAGCGTAAGTCAGAGTCGACTAATGGCGCAACTGACAACAGTCAAAATGAAACCAGGGGAAAAGGGGATGGCGTATATCAGTCGCTATCGCGAATTGCGCGACAAACTTCTTTGATGCGGAGGGTCGATATCTGAAGACGCCTCCGTGACAGTCATCATTGGCGGCCTCGGTCCTCAATGGCGTGCCACAAAAGCCATTCTCTGAGCTCACGGATGAATCTCCGAAGCAGCACTTTGCTCCGAAATTCATGCCGAGCAGCAAGACATGGACCTGCAAGAAGAAAGGCACAAAAGGAAGACGTCAGTGTCAAATCATGATGTTCTGTAGGCTGTAGTGGGGTAGCCCATATGGGGTACATATTTCTAGGGTTGCATATTTGTACCACATTCCATTCCTTAGTGTCCCATTCTCGTTTCAGTTTTCTCATGGTATCGAGCAGGTTCCCTCCTGGGAACTGTGCCTAGGGCCCACCAAGTCGAAAGTTTTTTTTTCCAGCCCGGAGCGCGCTCAGCCCGAGTCGCGCTCCCGTCTCTGACTTCGTCGAGACGCCCTAGCGGCCAAGTCGCGCCGCCTTAGCGGCCCCTGATTCGTCGCCCTAGCGACCCCGTCGCCCTACCTACGGCCCCGGCCCCGTCGCCCTACCTGCGCCTCGGCCCCGTCGCCCTACCTGCGCCCCGGCCCCGTCGCCCTAACTGCGACCCTGGCCCCATCGCCATACCTGCGGCCCCGACCCTAGCCCCGTCGCCCTACCTGCGCCCCAGCCCCGGCCCCGTCGCCCTGCTTGCGACCCCGGCCCCGTCGCCCCACCTCCGACCCCGGCCCCGTCGCCCTACCTGCGCCCTGGCCTCGGCCCCGTCGCCCTACCTGCGCCCCGGCCCCGGCCCCGTCGCCCTACCTGCGTACCGGCCCCGTCGCCCTACCTTCGACCCGGCCCCGTCGCCCTACCTACGGCCCCGCCCCGCCGCCCTACCTGCGGCCCAACCACCCTACCTGCGGCCCCGCCGCCCTACCTGCGGCCCAGCCGCCCTACCTGCGGCCCAGCCGCCCTACCTGCGGCCCAGCCGCCCTACCTGCGGCCCCGCCGCCCTCACCCGCGGTCCCTGCCGCCCTTACCTGCGGCCCCCGCCGCCCTTACTTGCGGTCCCCGCCGCCCTCACTTGCGGCCCCGCCGCCTTCCCTGCGGCCTCGTCATCTACTGCAGCGCCTCCCGCCACCCGAGCCGCCCGAGCCGCCTCACCTAGCCGAGCAGCCGACCGCCGCACCGCCGTACAGCAGCACAGCCGCGCCGCCCAGCAGCTGAGCAACCAGACACCCGAGCAGCCGAGCCGCCCTGCAGCCGAGCCGCCCAGCAGCCGAGCAGCCGAGCCGCCCTGCAGCCGAGCCGCCCAGCAGCCGAGCCGCCCTGCAGCCGAGCCACCGTGCAGCCGAGCCACCGAGCCTCCGAGCCGCCCGAGCAGCCCCGTCCGGTAAGCACACCGACTCTGTCACTGCACTGCCCTTTCCCTACTGTGTGCGCTGCTAGTCTACTGTTGTCATGGCTACCCCTAGTGTCCTCGCTTTTGACGCCGAGGGTCGAGCCATTGACTTTGACGTCTGGGTAGATGACCTGCAGCTGTTCTTACAGTGCGATAGGGCAGACGGTCTCTCCCTCTTTGACCTCACCTCTGGTGCCTCTCCTGCTCCTGCTGCTGATGCTGACGCCACTGTTCGCTCACAGTGGGCCACGCCCGATGCTGCTGCACGTCTTGCTGTGCGTCGCCACCTCCCTACCTCTGAGCGTGCGCACTTTAGTCAGTACAAGAGTGCTCAGACCTTGTACGACGCTGTAGTTGCACGCTACTCCTCCCCTGCCACTGCTGCACTGAGCCGTCTCATGCTACCGTACCTCTTCCGTGACCTTGCTGCCTTTCCCACAGTCGCTGACCTCATCACGCACCTCCGCACTAGTGACACTCGCTACCGCGCTGCGCTTCCTGCTGACTTCTGTGCCAAGAACCCCCCCCCCATGTACATCACTCTCTACTACGTACTCACTCGCCTCCCTGACTCTCTTCGCGTAGTCAGGGACCACTTCCTCTCAGTCTGTCCCACCACTCTCACTGTTGACCTCCTCGAGAAGTCCCTCCTAGCGGCCGAGAAGAGCATAGTCGCTGTATGGGGCCTCTTGTGGTGACCCGCGCACCCCCATCTTTGAGGGGTGTTCCCCCTCCCCCCTTCTGCCCTCTGCTGCCTCTGCTGCTGCGGCCGACCTCCTTGGTCTTGAGTCAGTCGGTGCGGCGTCTGCCCCTAGCGGGAGACGCCGCTCTGGCAAAGGCAAGGGGGGCAGGGGCACTGGAGGAGCGAGCGGGGACGGTGGAGGTGGAGGTGGAGGCGGCGGGGGGAGTGGGGGTGGCCGTGGGAGTGGAGGTGGGGGTGGAGGTGTCGGTGGCGGCAGTGGAGGCGGAGGCGGCGGCGGCGGTGGCGGTGGGAGCGGAGGTGGCGGAGGTGGCGGCGGTGGAGGAGGCGGCGGAGGCGGCGGTAGTAGCGGAGGCGGCGGAGGCGGCGGAGGCGGTGGGGGT